TGCGATGGCATGATCTCAGCTCACTGCAACCTTCGCCTCCCGGGATTCAAGTGATTCTCCTGCCTCAGCCTCCCGAGTAGCTGGGATTAAAGGTGCCCGCCACCACGCCCAGCTCATTTTTTGTATTTTTAGTAGAGATGGTGTTTCACCAGGTTAGCCAGGCTGGTCTCAAACTCCTGACCTCAGGTGATCCATCTGCCTTGGCCTCCCAGAGTGCTGGGATTACAGGCGTGAGCCATGACACCCAGCCTGACATTCAACGTCTTATGGCTTTGGGCTGAGATTCTGGAAGTCCTCTTACCTCGGACTCAGCCTGTTTAACAGAAGCCTCACTACCCACCCCAGAGGGCTTTGAGAGCAGAGCTGCACACCCTTCGAGACTCCCCTGACCAACTTGAGCCAAGGAAGCTCACAGATCTGGGAGCTTCTAGGTTCCTGCAGCAGATCTTAACATGTTAACTCAGTACCTGGGCAAGGAACTTTGCCTTGCCTTTGCTCTTTGTAGCAAGCCTGGTTTTCTGTGAAAGAGAATGAAGACTAAGCCGATAAAAGCAGAGGAGATGCAGAAAGAGGACCCTGGCAGCATGGGAGTTAGTGAGGCCCAATTCCTTCCCTGCCTGTCCTCACAGGGCTTTGGTTTGGTTATTCACCTCTTCCCTGGAGTTCAAGAGGCCAGGGCATTCCAGCCTTTGCCTAAAGTGCTTCAAACTGTGCGTCCAGCCCTTGCAAACTAAAGAACCCCGATTCTCTCAGAGGTTCTCTCTCTGGTACTTCCCATTCCCTTGGCAAATCCAGCCTCCATTCCCAACTCAACAAAGAACAACAGGAACTCTGAAATGGCAATTTTATCTTAAAGTCTTCAATATTTTCCCTTTTGTTTCCTTTTTCGAAAGTTAGGAGCAGAGTGATGAGTTCATTACACTCACTCCTTCCTCGCGGCCCGTCATCACTATTTTCCACAAGGCCCCTGTGTAATTTTACTTCTGTGCCCATTTTTTGCTTGTTTTAATCCCAGTTGCCACTCTCATGCTCATCCCTCTATAGGCAACCATTCCAATGTGCTCGACGTGCATTCTTTAATGTGTAATGACCTTGTTAGATTTGCTATGTGGCCTTCTGCCATATACCTCTGTCAGAGGTGCTTGAACCAGAGCAACCAACTCTGTCTTGAATAGGGTTTGGATAAAGTGAGGCTGAGACCTACTGGGCTGCATTCCGAGGCAGTTAAGCCTTCTTAGTCACAGCCTGAGAGAGGAGATCAGCACAAGACTCAGGTCACGAAAACCTTGCTGATAAAACAGGATGCAGTAAAGAAGCCAGCCAAAACCCACCAAATAATATAGAGACAAAACTGACCGCTGGTTGTCCTCACTGCTCATTATAATATATTAGCATGTTAAAAGACACTCTCACCATTTATATGCCATCATCGTTTATAAAGAAGTTGCCCTTATGGTCTAAAAAGAGGAGGAATCCTCAGCTCCAGGAATTGCCTACCTCTTTCCTAGAACACTCATGGATAATCCACCCCTTGTTTAACATATAATCCAGAAATAACTACAAGTGTACTCAGTCAAGCAGCCTATGCCACTGTTCTACCTATGGAGTAACCATTCTTTCATTCCTTTGCTTTTTTTTTTTTTTTTTTTCTGGATACAGAGTCTTACTCTGTTGTCCAGGCTGGAGTGCAATGGCATAATCTCAGCTCACTGCAACCTCTGCCTCCTGGGTTCAGCTGATTCTCGTGCCTTAAACTCCAGAGTAGCTGGGCTTACAGGCATGAGCCACCACACCCAGCTAATTTTTATTAGAGATGGGATTTTGCCATCTTGGTCAGGATGGTCTCAAACTCCTGACCTGTGATCTGCCTGCCTCAGCCTCCCAAAGTGCTGGGATTACAGGCATGAGCCACCACACCCAGCCACATATTAGCTATTTAAAAAATAAAGCATAGAACCGGCCGGGCGCGGTGGCTCAAGCCTGTAATCCCAGCACTTTGGGAGGCCGAGTCGGGTGGATCACGAGGTCAGCAGATTGGGACCATCCTGGTCAACATGGTGAAACCCCGTCTCTACTAAAAATACAAAAAATTAGCTGGGCACGGTGGTGCGTGCCTGTAATCCCAGCTACTCGGGAGGCTGAGGCAGGAGAATTGCCTGAACCCAGGAGGCGGAGGTTGCGGTGAGCCGAGATTGCGCCATTGCACTCCAGCCTGGGTAACAAGAGTGAAACTCCGTCTCAAAAATAAATAAATAAATAAATAAATAAATAAATAAATAAATAAAGCATAGAAAGTAAAATCTCCTTTATCCTTCAAGACTTGGCTCAAATGCCCAGTCCGCTGGGAGCTCTTCAATGGCAGAGACTGCTGTTGCCTCCTAACTCCCATTCTTCTCCTCTTTCATTCTAAGAATACTCCTGCATTCTGCAGCTGGGCATATTAAAAAAAAAAAAAGAAAAAAAGAATACTCCACTTTGAGGCAATTGCAAGATTTCCAATAACTAGCTGAGTGCTATCCCACTAGTAGAGTGTGCATAACCTCTCTTGTGGTTAAACAGGATCAGGTAATTATGGTCTGGCCAATTAAATTTAAGTAGAAGCATTATATAGAACTCCTGGAGTGATTGTCAAGGGGAGGGGATGAGAACTCTTTTGCCCTTCCTTTAAGTTCATCTGTTTTAATTTTTTTTTTTTTTGAGACAGAGTCTCTCTCTGTCACCCAGGCTAAAGTGCAGTGCCATGATCTTGTCTCACTTCAGCCTCCTCCTCATGGGTTCAAGCAATTCCCATGCCTCAGCCTCCCAAATAGCTGGGACTATAGGTGAACACCACCACACCCAGCCAATTTTTGTATTTTGGTAGAGATGGGGTTTCACCATTTTGGCCATGCTGGTCTTGAACTCCTGACCTCAGGTGATCCTCCCTCTTTGGCCTCTTCAAGTGTTGGAATTATAGCCATGAGCCACCGTGCCCAGCCTCTTTAAGTTCATCTGTTTTAAGTCAGTGTTATTTGGGGGTTTTCTGTTGCATGCAATCAGCCAAACCTAATCATAACTGATATGTTGTTCTAGTTATCTATTGCTACATAAACAGAGCTCCCAAAGGAACTATCCTGTCATACTCATTGATTCTGGGAATCAGGAGTTTTGACAGGACTTTGTGGGCATGGCTTGAATCTGCTCCACGCTCTCATGGACTCCAGCTGGGAAGACTTGATGGCTCAGTGGGACTCAAGCAGCTGGGGACTGTGATCATCTGGAGGGCTCTTCACTCACCTGTCTGGCACCTGGGATGAGATAACTAAAAGACTGGGTTCAGATGGCATTGCTGACATAAGCATCTACACACAGCTTCTCCATGTGACTTGGGCTTCCTTACAATATGGCAGTCTCAGGACAGTCAGACTTGTCAAAAGTGGCTCAGAGCTCCCTCCTCAAGTGTTTCTTAACAAGATGGAAGTTGTTTGGCTTCTTCCTTATTTCCTTTTTCTCTGATTTCCTCTACAATATTTTACCTTAGTGTTTGGCTTCTTCTGACCCCGCCTCAGAAGTCGTGCAGCATCAGCCTTGCCTGCACCTACCCTGAGCCAGCAGTTCTCTACACACCCAGCATCAGCATCAAGAAAGATGCACCTGGCAAAGTGGGAGCAAGCGTGGGCAGAGTGATGGTGGCCAGGCTCCGGCAGGGGCTACTGCTTCTGGCAGTGCTCCTACCAATGCAGATTTATACAGCTCAAACAACTGTTGTAACACTTTTAAGTAACTTCTCCCAGAATAACTTGGCTGCCCCCAAGTCTAGCTAATGCCACCAGTGAGGCATTGGCAGTGTCCTGCAGTCAGCCAGTCTCCTCCCTCACTCCTCATAGTCTCACTCTGTTCCACTTCTCTACTGTTAAAAGACTCAGGCTGGGTGGGCACGGTGGCTCACGCCTGTAATCCCAACACTCTGGGAGGCTGAGGCAAGTGAATAACCTGAGGTCAGAAGTTTGAGACCAGCCTGGCCAACAGCATGAAACCCCATTTCTACTAAAAATACAAAAAATTAGCCGGGCATGGTGGCGCATGCCTATAATCCCAGCTACTTGGGAGGCTGAGGCAGAAGAATCACTTGACCCCAGGAGGTGGAGGTTGCAGTGAGCCAAGATCGCACCATTGCACTCCAGCCTGGGAAACATGAGTGAAACTCCCTCTCAAAAAATAAAATAAAATACGCCGGGCGCGGTGGCTCACGCCTGTAATCCCAGCACTTTGGGAGGCCAAGGTGGGTGGATCACGAGATCAGGAGTTCAAGACTAGCCTAGCCAAGATGGTGAAACCCGGTCTCTACTAAAAATACGAAAAAAAATTAGCCGGGAATGGCGGCATGCGCCTGTAATCCCAGATACTCGGAAGGCTGAGGCAGAGAATTGCTTAACCCTGGAGGCAGAAGTTGTAGTGAGCTGAGATCACGCCACTGCACTCCAGCCAGGGTGACAGAGCAAGACTCCATCTCAAAAATAAATAAATAAATAAATATCATGAAAATGAATTCATTAATAATAAAAGTGAAAGACTCGGGCCAGTACCGGCACGGTGTCTTCCCAACGTCCCCCCCTCCACACACACTGCACTAAAATGCAAGCTTCGTGAATGCAAGGACGAACTTTTGCCTGTATTGTTCACCGGAGTGTCCCCAAAGCCTAGGACAGTTCTTGGCATACTGAGGGACACTCAATAAATATTTAAGGAGTGAATAAACAATTGGATACCCGATAAATGCATGTATGAATAAACACATTCTTAGTTACTCGGAATATGAGGATTTGCGGAGAGTGATCTGAGGAGACCGGCTGGGACTGGGAATGGGCATTCGGGTCGCATGCCCACTGCGGAGGTCCAGAGCCCCTGTTCGGACCACTAACAAGTTACTTAGCAACCCGCCGCCCAGCCCTCGGCCACCGCTAGAGGGCGAGCGGGCGGGGAGACGGGCACGCGCGCGCGCGTACGTGCAAGCGTGTGTACGCGCGTGCGCGGCGCGGGCTTGGGAGGGAGCACGTCACTTCCTGTTGCCTTAGGGGAACGTGGCTTTCCCCGCAGAGCCGGTGTCTCTGTCTGCGTCCCTGTTGCAGCAACCGGAGCTAGAATCGGATCCCGAACGCACCCTCGCCATGGACTCGGCCATCAGCGATCCGCATAACGGCAGCGCCGAGGCAGGCGGCCCCACCAACGGCACGACGCGGCCGCCTTCCACGCCCGAGGGCATCGCGCTGGCCTATGGCAGCCTCCTGCTCATGGCGCTGCTGCCCATCTTCTTCGGCGCCCTGCGCTCGGTACGCTGCGCCCGCGGCAAGGTAGGGTCACCGGGAAAACCGGGCACTTTCCACCCCCATACCGAACACGGCCGACATGGACCCTTCCTAGGTAGGACAGACACCTCCTCTCCCCGGACACTGACCCTGATCACCACCGTTCCCTCCATCCCGGGCACACGTTACGGAGCTGGCGTTTCCTGCCCCGGGATCTGGGCACCGACCCCCGACCACGGTATGACACTTTCCCCAATAGGAACTTGCTTTTGCTACCGACCCGGACCCTGACACTTCCCTCCCTGTGCATCATGCCGCAGCTGGGAACGCTGTCAGCCCGTCCCCCACTTTGACTCGGGCACTGACTGTTTTGAGCCTGTTGGGCCCAAGCAGACCAGCCCCATCTATACCTGATGGATAGTGGTCCCGAGAACTTCCTGAATGGTACAATCTCATGTCATCCCGGGTTAGGAACCCTGCCTCAGCCCACCCCAGGGCCCTTTCCACCATCCAGACCCATTCCTAGACTCTGACTCCTGTCTCGCTGGAATATATGGCACCTCATGTGCTCACCTAGAGCCCCCACCCTTGGCCCTTGCCCCTGCCTCAAAAACAATGGTCTCTCAGCCCCCGGTTTCTCACATCACTTTCTGGAACCATCCCAGTCGGCTAGCTCCTCAGAACCTGGCATCTTGGTGCCTCTACTTTCCAACCAGGCGTGGAGGTCTTACTTTGCCGGTCTCCTCTCTCTCACTACCATCCAACCTTGGACATGGCCTAGTCGAAACCCAGACCTTGTTCCTAACCTGTAACCCTTTTCTCAGCCAGCCTTTCACCCTACCTCAAAGTGGCCTTTCTCCCCTTCCCCCAAGACAACCCCCCGCCACCACCAAACTGGGCCTGCCTGCTGGTCCACTGTTGGCCCCTCTTGTGAGACTGGGCTAGACTCTATCCCTGGCCTTCCTCAACATCTGTCCCATTGGATACCTAGGAGGACTCCAGCACATTTCACCTTCTGCTTCCTCTTCCCCCTTTGCCGGCCCACTTCTTCCCTATACGGAGCCCACTCTAGCCCGTTGTACCAATGGCTTCTCTTAATCCACAGCTCCCCATGCTCCTCCCCTACCCAGACCTGAAGATAAACCTCAGTGGAAGCTGTCTTGCCCAAAGAGGGCAGGCCCACAGAGCAGCTGCCACTTTTGAAACTGCTCAAGCTGAGGTTCTCAAAATACTACCCAACTTGAGCAGTGGCTGAGGCCTGCCACCTTCCTTCCCTAAGAGCATGGGGAAGGTATGCTCTTAGGCTCTGTATGCGATCAGATGCAAAGGAAAGTAGTAGTCAGGCAGGGCTTAGGCTGAGAAACTCAAACATGACTCCATGTTCCTTTTTATTTGGCTTTTTCTAAGCAGAGTTCAGGAGATCTTAAGCTTCTCTACTATGCCTGTCAGGTAGACACTTAGTGCAGAGAGAAGTTTAAGGTAAACCAGGACAGAGGAGGCAAAGGACAGCTGCTATAAGGCTAGACCACTTGATCTGAGCTGCTCTCCAAACTGACTAATTCTCCCTGGCACCTTTCGTACATGGATCACTAATCTCTGCAGAAAACACCTTCCAGACAACAGTATTTCCTGAACGTCCACCACTATCAAGGGTAACAGAGGGTTCCTGCAAAGATGAGTAGGTCAGAGCCCTGTCACCAAGTTCAGGAGTTGGGTGGAAGAAGAATAATTAGATCTGGGATTATAATACAAGCAGTGCTGCAGGGTTGCGGGAGAAAGACTGAGCACATCTGGGACAGTGCAGGAAGGCTTCGTGCTAGGGGTAGGCCTGAGCCTTGATGTACAGGTAGAATTTCAACCAGGAGAAGGCATTCTAAGCAGAAGTAACCAGGTAAGCACAGAGAGGTACAGAGGCAGGAGGCTACAGGGCAGTTCAGGAAATAGTGACGGGTCTGATGTGGCTGAAACAGAAGGTAAGAGAAAGACTTAGCCTCTGAATACCTCTCCCAAGCATCTCCTGCAGGGCAGCAGGGTTTGGAGGACTGTGTGAAATTACAAACAGGACCTGAACATTAAGAGCCTGCCACCACCAGTGACGCAGATGCTGTAAAACTTGCAAAACCTTTGATGCTCACAGCAACTGAGGTGGCAGGCAGAGCCAGTTTCATTATCCTCATTGTACAGAAAAAGAAACTGAGAGTGAAAGAAATGACTTCTGAAGATCACTGCCATTTAGGGGCAGAACCAGGTATGCCTGGTACTTTTCCAGGGCTCTCTCCGGATACAGGTACCTCTAAAGACAAGCAGCATTGACCCAGGGGAAGGACAGGCCAAATGACTCCCTTTTTACCCTGAGTGGTTTCCCTGATGATGCGGAGAGAGAAGAGTTAGTGTAGGGACCCAGTTTTGATGTCCCACCAGTGTTGGACCCCAAAGCCAGTGGAAGAGAGGGAATGTGAGGACAGAATTCTCCCCAGGGGTCAAGGTGTCCATAACAGGCAGGGAAAATGGTGAAACTCTGAGAGAAGGTGGAGCCTCCACGAGTATGTTGTGAAAAAGTAGCGTTGGGAGGAGCAGCTACTCAGAGCAGCACCCACCCCTGCCGGAGGCCTACCTCCCAGACAAGCAAATCGGGCCCAGGCAGTAGCTACACATTGGATTGCTTTAAGGGGCCCTCAGCCAGCAGGACTGCGTGCCCCCTCTGGGCTGAGCTCTGGGCTGGGTACCAGGAGTTCCGGGACAACAAAGGCCAAGCCTTGCCCCCGCTGAGCTCAGTCACCAAGGAGAAATAGACATGTGACTAGCCAAGAAGACAGAGTTCTGATAGGCCTCCTGGAGGGGGCAGCAGTTGTCTTAGCATGGATGGAGGGGAGTCTAACAGGCAGAACAGGGACCACAAGATGTGAGAGGCAGTGAGGCGTGTGGTGTGAGCCCAGGAGAGGGACTTGGATGTCGTGGCATGATGTTCAGGAACCTGCGGCCTTTCTGAGGAAGAGAATCCTGAAAACAGTGCAGCAGTTAATCGTTATTGTTACAAAAATACTATACACTTGTAAAAAAAAAATTCAAGGGCCCGGCGTGGTGGCTCACGCCTGTAATCCCAGCACTTTGGGAGGCTGAGGCGGGTGGATCACGAGGTCAAGAGATCGAGACCATCCTGGTCAACATGGTGAAACCCCGTCTCTATTTAAAAATACAAAAAATTAGCTGGGCGTGGTGGCGCGTGCCTGTAGTCCCAGCTACTCAGGAGGCTGAGGCAGGAGAATTGCCTGAACCCAGGAGGCGGAGGTTGCGGTGAGCCGAGATCGCGCCATTGCACTCCAGCCTGGGTAACAAGAGCGAAACTCCGTCTCAAAAAAAAAAAAAAAATTCAAACAGTACAGAAGTATAAAGGAAAAGCCTCCTGGGCACTATTCCTTGGAAGTAACCCAATTAGCTGTTGGGTGTGTAACCTTTGAGAATTTTCTCTGTGTATATACAAACATTGTGTATGTGTCTGTGCATATAGACATACATCAATTTATTTTTATAAAAATTGGATTATATAGTACATATTGTTCCTCAACTTGATTTTTTTTTTTCTTTAACAATTTGTTGGCCAGGTACAGTGGCTCATATCTGTAATCCCAGCACTTTGGGAGGGATTACACTTGAGGTGGGCAGATCACTTGAGGTCAGGTGTTCAAAACCATCTTGGCCAACATGGTGAGACCCTGTCTCTACCAAAAATACAAAAATTAGCTTTGTATGATGGGCCATGAGTGTAATCCCAGCTACTCGGGAGGCTGAGGCACGAGAATCACTTGAACCCGAGAGGCAGAGGTTGCAGTGAGCTGAGATCGTACCACTGCATTCCAGCCTGGGCGACAGAGTGAGACTCCATCTCAATAATAATAATATGTTTTTGTTATTTATCTATGTCAGTATATAGAGACCTAATGTTAACCAGATGTGGTGGCATGCACCTGTAGTCCTAGCTACTCTGGAGGTTGAGGTGGGAGGATAACTTGAGCCCAGGAGTTCAAGGCTGCAGTGAGCCCTGATTGCACCACTGGGCAACAAAGTGAGACACTATCTCAAAAAATACAGACATATATATATGTCTATATGTAGCTCTACTTCATCTTTTATGGTGGGGAGGATAGGTAATATCATGCCCATGGTACAGAATTCAAAAGGTACAAAGGGGTGTACAATGATAGTCTCCCTGCCACCTCAAGCTGCCCCATTTCCCTCCTCAGAGGCAGCCCCTGTTTGTGTTTTTCTTAGAGAAAAGAATTTCTCATCCAGAGAGATTCTGTGTCTTTACAAATAAATAGGCATAAGCTTTCCCTGGTTTTTGTTTTGTTTTGTTTTGTTTTTTGAGACAGAGTCTCACTCCATTGCCTAGGCTGGAATGCAATGGCACGATGTCAGCTTAATGAACCCTCCACCTCCCAGGTTCAAGGGATTCTTCCACCTCAGCCTCTCGAGTAGCTGGGATTGCAGGCACCCGCCATCATGCCTGGCTAATTTTTGCATTTTTGTAGAGATGGGGTTTTACCATGTTGGCCAGGCTGGTCGTGAACTCCTGACCTCAGGTGATCCACCCGCCTCAGTCTTCCAAAGTGCTGGGATTACAGGCATGAGCCACAGCACCCAGCCCTGTTTTTGTTACATAACTATTGTGTATTATTATACACTATATATATAATACTACATATAGTACACTCTTTTTTGCACCTTGCTTTTTTCACCTAATACTTGTTGCAGATTCAATCCTGTCAGTACATAGGGTGTGTTCTTTAACAGCTGTGTGATACCCCGCCTGTATGCCAGTTTGCTTAGAACACTGGTTCTCTAATGTCTGGTCCCTGGGCCAGCAGCATCAGCATCACCCCAGAACTTGTTAGAAATGCACATTCTGAGAGGCTGGGCACGGTGGCTCAAGCCTGTAATCCCAGCACTTTGGGAGGCCGAGGCAGGTGGATCACGAGGTCAACAGATCGAGACCATCCTGGCCAACATGGTGAAACCCCGTCTCTACTAAAAATACAAAAAAAAATTCGCTGGGCATGGTGGCGCGTGCCTGTAATCCCAGCTACTCAGGAGGCTGAGGCAGGAGAATTGCCTGAACCCAGGAGGCGGAGGTTGTGGTGAGCCGAGATCACGCCATTGCACTGCAGCCTGGGTAACAAGAGTGAAACTCCGTCTCAAAAAAAAAAAAAGAAAGAAAGAAAGAAATGCACATTCTGAATCAGAAGTTCAAGGTGGCCCCAACGATGTATGTTTTAACAAGCCCATCTGGTGATTCCGATGCATGCTCAAATTTAGAACCACCAATTTAGAGTCGTCCACTGGTCATTCAGGTTATTTCAGCCTTTTGCTATTACAAAACATGCTGAAATTAGTATCTTTATAGATTTTTATTTCACACTTGTCTGTGTATTTGTAGGATTTTTTTTTTTTTAAGATAGAGTCTCCTGCTGTCACCCAGGCTGGAGTGTGGTGGTACCATCTCAGCTCACTGTAACCTCTGCCTCCCGGATTCAAGCAATTTACCCACCTCAGCCTCTTGAGTAGCTGGGATTACAGGCACACACCACCACACCCAGCAAATTTTTGTATTTTTAGTACAAAATACAAAATGGGGTTTGCCATGTTGCCTGGGCTGATCTCAAACTCTTGACCTCAGGTGATCTGCCCACCTCAGCCTTGCAAAGTGCTGGGATTACAGGCCTGAGCCACTGCTCCCAGCCCACACTTTTTATTGAGATAGATTTTACCATATGATCCGCCATAGAGGTTGTATCAGTTTACTTTTCCCCAGCAGTAACCTCGATTCTTGTTTAATTGCTGTGGAGTAGTCTGTTCTCCAGAGGTGGTGGTGTTATTGTTTGTTTTTAGTTTTTGTTAGTTTGAGACAGAGTCTCACTCTCTTCTGCCGGCCTGGAGTGCAGTGGTGTGATATTGGCTCACTGCAACCTCCAGCTTCCGGGTACAAACAATTCTCATGCCTCAGTCTCCCGAGTAGCTGGAACTACTGGCACATGCCACCACGCCCAGCTAATTGTGGTATTTCTAGTAGAGACACGGTTTCACCATGTTGGCCAGGCTGGTCTCAAACTCCTAACCTCAAGTGATCTACCCACCTCAGCCTCCCGAAGTGCTGGATTATAGGCGTAAGCCACTGCGCGCAGCCTCTCCAGAGGTTTTTAAGTAGGTATGTGACACAATCAGGTGTAGGCTTTAGAAAGAGCTTGTGGCAGCATGGGTGATAGGCCAGAGGGAGAAGTGTAAGGTTGGTGCAGGGGTTGTGAAGACAGCAGTGAAGGCCAAAGTATTGGGGTGGGAGGTTGGGTCAGGAAAGGTAACCATGGAGAGCAGAGTGACTGAATGTGGTGGTAAGGAGTAGAGACCCTGGGGTGTCCAGCTGGGGCAACAGTAACAGAATGGCCAATGAATGCCAGATCATTTCCAGGACATGGCCCACAAGCAGTGCTCCAAGAACCTGAGCCGTGCCAGTGGCTTCCGGCAGGCATCTGTCTTCCCTTCCTGCTTTTGTTTCCGCTCTGCTAACAACATCCAGAATGTCTTTGGAAGCCACATTTACTTCTGTTTGTGTCAGGTTTTTTCCCCCACTTTCTAATTGTGTCTTGTGTTGCAGGAGCTGTTGCATTTACATACGCTAATCTGGTTAAAAAATGCCAATTGGTAGCTTTGCGCAGTGGCAGTATCGTAGCCAATGATGTTTATTGGAGGCGCGATTACTGCTAATTGAAAACTTTTCCCAATACCCTGCCATGACAATTTGAAATAGTTAGCATTGGCAATTTTTGACAGTCTCTACAGAGACTGAATTAAAAAAAAAAAAAAAAATGCCAATTGGATTGTTAAAGAATCCTAACAACTTTTTAAATATTTTTGAAACTACAAAGATTAACTGTTCAGTTACCTTCAGGATTCTATTCCTCAGAAAAGTTGCAGGCTTTCCAAGTATCTTCCTGTTATAACTTTCCTACAGAAATTTCCAGATAGGAAAGATAGAGGTCGTCTAGGAAACAGCTGCCAAGAGTTTGGGGTCTGGAACTGGACTGCCTCCGTTTGAATCCTGGCTTTGCCCCTCACCAGCTGTGTAACACTAAGCAAGTTACTTTACCTCTCTAGGCCTCCACTTCCTCATTTGTAAAAGAGCTATTAAAAGTACCTGCTTTGGCTGGGCACGGTGGCTCACACCTGTAATCCCAGCACTTTGGGAGGCCAGGGCAGGCAGGTCACCTGAGGTCAGGAGTTCAAGACCAGCCTGGCTAACATGGTGAAACCCCATTTCTACTAAAAATACAAAAAAATTAGCTGAGCATGGTGGCATGGGCATGTAATCCCAGCTACTCGGGAGGCTGAGGCAGGAGAATGGCTTGAACCTGGGAGGTGAAGGTTACAGTGAGCCAAGATCACGCCACGGCACTCCAGCTTGGGCAACAAGAGCAAAACTCCATCTCAAAAAAAAAAAAAAAAAAGTCCCGGTTTTGTGGGGTTTTTGTCGGGATGTAAACATTTAAAGTACCTAGAACAGTGCAGTAATGTTATCATGTTATCGTTATTACTATTACTGTCAGATTTCAGGTCTCCCATTCTTCTTTTTTTTTTTTTTTTTTTTTTGAGAGAAAGTCTCACTTTGTTGCCCAGGCTGGAGTACGGTGGCACGATCACAGCTCATTACACCATACCCAGTTAATTTTAGTAGGGTTTTTTTTTAATAGAGGTAGAGTTTCTCCATGTTGCCCATGCTGGTCTCAAGTTCCTGGGCTCAAGCAGTCTGCCCACCTTGACCTCCCAAAGTGCTGGGATTACAGTCTGGTCTGCTGTTCTGACTCAGCATTGCAGCATGGGACATTTATAAGTCACCGACAAAGGAGACCATATTCCTCTGTGTGGTGGAGAGGATATGTCCAACCTTGGTTTGTGACTGAATAAGATTAGGCTTCTTCCCACCCAGGGTGCTGGGCTGAAATGAAAGGAATACATGGAAATGTATTCCTATATACAAACCATAATACTGGTTTGTAGGTGAAACCACAAAGTCCCATGTGTCCTTTTACGGCCCTGAGCCTCTGAATGTGTGTATCTTTCTGCCTGATAAATACTTCCTTTCCTTGTACACAAAGCACACTCCTCAAGCTGGACATGGTAGCTCATGGGCTATAATCCCAACACTTTGAGAGGCGTACGCGGGTGGATTACCGGTTGTCAGGAGTTCAAGATCAGCCTGGCCAACATGGTGAAACCCCCATCTCTAGTAAAAATACAAAATTAACCAGGCATGGTGGCTCATGCCTGTAATCCCAGCTACTCCGGAGTCCAAGGCAGGAGAATCACTTGAACCCGGGAGGTGGAGGTTGCAGTGAGCCGAGATCACACCATTGCCCTCCAGCCTGGGCAAAAAGAGTGAAACTCCACTCAAAAAAAAAGAAAACAGACTCCTCAACCCAGTCAGCATTTATGTGGCTCCTGCTGCATACCAGACCATCAGACCCTGTGCTTGACCATCAAGGCCTTGCCTAAGTGGTACCTGCTCTCGCGACCTCTGACCCCTTTACTTCTCTGCAGAAATACTGTCTTGTTGGCCTCCTCGTGATTCCCTTATGCATAATAATGATACAAATGTTGTATATAGTTTAAATGCTGACTAGAGGCACAATGCTGAGTACTTTCAAAGCAGAAATCAGAATCCTCACAACTCATTTTACAGCTGAGGAAATCAAGGCTCGGAGAAAAAAAAAATTGCTTTTCTGAGGTCCCACAGCTGGGAAGAAGTAGAACTGGGAGTCCAGATGGTCTTCCTGACCTCAGAATCCCTTTGTACCTGCTGGTGTTCATTCTGCGGGTCACACTGATATACGCATCTGTTGTGTCACATGTCACGCTGCATTATAATACCCTGTTTGGGGTTTTGTTTTTTTGGAGCTAGAGTGCAGTGCTCGGTCTCAGCTTACTGCAACCCCCGCCTCTCAGGTTCAAGCGATTCTCCTGCCTCAGCCTTCTCAGTAGCTGGGACCCAGGTGCACACCACCACCACCCAGCTAATTTTTGTATTTTTGTAGAGACGGGGTTTCACCGTGTTGGCAGCTGGTCTCCAACTCCTGACCTCAGGTGATTCACCCACCCCAGTATCCCAAAGTGCTGGGATTACAGGCGAGAGCCACCAAACCCAGCCGGTTTTGTTTGCATTCCATAAAATAGAATACATGTTCCCTATAATGTTTTGTTTCCATGTCAAGGTATTAGCCTATCTCCTATGAATGCTTCAAGATCAGGAACTCATTTTTGTACACATACTACTGCTACCCAGAAAATGTATTGAATTTTTGGAGGTGCTCAGAGGGGATAAGGAACTTGCCCAAGCCCCACAGCACACTGCTGGCAAAAGCAGAAGCCAAGGGTTGGGAGAGAATAAGGAAGGAAGGAAACCGGACCTCCCATGTGGGTATTGCTCACCCACCCCACCCCCACCCCCTGGCAAAGCTGCCCAAGTGACTCACACTCCAGTGGCTCCAGGGGGGAGGTCTACTTTCCTGCCCAGGGCCTGGGCTGCCTCAGCCATGCATGGGCAGGGGTGTGGTTAAGGGCCTCCTCACTCACCTCTCCCTGATAGTCACAACCCCCTGTATGGGCACAGTACTTTACAGTTTGCCAGGCTGTTTCATATCCCATAGCTCATTTGGTTTAAGACTCATGGGGCTGGGTGTGGTGGCTCATTTCTATCATCCCAGCATTTTGGGAGGCCAAGGCAGGAGGATCAGTTGGTTCCAGGAGTTCAGGGCTGCAGTGAACTATGATCTTGCCACTGCACTCTAGCTTGGGCAACAGATAGAGACCCTGTCTCTGTTTTTTTCTTTAAAAAAAAAAGGCTGCTGTCACTTTCTTAAAATAAGTGAGGCTAGAAACAGTCCTCCTGTTTGACAGAGAAGTAAACCCAGTCACTCAGCAAGCCATTAACAGAGCAAGGAATACCTTGGATACATTTTATGTGTAGCATTTTACTTATATATGAACTGTATCTATAGGAAGAATTCCCACACATGGAATTGCTTGGTCACAGGGTATGTGCATTTGTGATTTTTTTATATCTTGCCTACTTGCTTTCTACAGGAAGACCAACTGACTCCCATAGGCAGTGTGGGAGACTGCCTCTTTCCACACAGCCCCACCAACTCAGTATGTTACCCAATGTGTGGGTTCTTACCTTTCCGATAGATGAAAAACAGAGTCTCAGTGTGCTTTAGTTTGAGCTCTTAGTGAGAATAAACACTTTTTTTTTTTATTATTAAGAGCCATTTGGGCCAGGCGTGATGGCTGATGCATGTAATCGCAGCACTTGGGGAGGCTGAGGCAGGCGGATTACGAGGTCAAGAGATCAAGACCATCCTGGCCAACATGGTGAAACCCCATCTCTACTAAAAATACAAAAATTAGCTGGGCATGGTTGCACGGGCCTATAGTCCCAGATATTCAAGAGGCTGAGGTAGGAGAATTGCTTGAACCTAGGAGGCAGAGGTTGCAGTGAGCCAAGATCGCGCCACTGTACTCCAGCCTGGGTGACAGAGCGATACTCCATCTCAAAAAAAAAAAAAAAAAAAAAAAATGGAGCTATTTGTGGTTCTTGTTCTGTGGCTCTTCTTTTTGTATCTTTGGGCATGTGGAAATTTTAGTTTAATGCATCCTGCCAAACTGCCCTCCCCTAAAGTCTGAACACGTTTGTACTCTAGGCCAGTGCTATGTATGTATTTCCTTTAGCTGGGCACAGTGGTGTGTGCCTGTAATCCCAGCTACTTGGGAAGCTGAGGCAGGAGGATTACTTAAGCCCAGGATTTCAAATCTAGCCCTCACCTCCCTTTCCTAGTAGTCATCTCATGGGCTTACTGCCCTCTGCCCCATCTCTTTCCCCTTTGCAACCTTCCACCTGGGACAGTAAGGCCTCTCTGAGCCAGTCTTACCTTCTCCAGACACTGTCTCTCTCAGCAGGTTTTTTATTGTTGGTTTTCTGAGCCAAAAAATTTGTGCATCTCCACGACTGAATGTGATCCCTTCTTCTAGGGATGCTGGTGCTTTACTCTCAGGATGGACGTGGTGATGATAGAATCTTGGACACTGTGATAAGCCTGTGGCTACTGCGGAAAGAACTTCACTTTAGCATGAGCAGGAGGTGCTAGGACTTTTGGTAGCCCTAATATAAAACAGTTGAGGAGTGGGTTGTCTCAGTGGGGAAATACGGAAGGGCTTCATGTTAGTGACATTTGCTAGGCTATTGAGGACTATGAGGATTTTGCCTAGCAGAAAGAGGGGAGGTAAAGAGCACTGTGATCCTGGAAGCTTTTGATCCTGTTCGGAAATTTTTTTTTTTTTTTGAGATGGAGTCTCACTCTGTCACCAGGCTGGAGTGCAGTGGCACGATCTTGGCTCACTGCAGCCACTGTCTCCTGGGTTCAAGCGATTCTCCTGCCTCAGCCTCCTGAGCAGCTGGGACTACAGGCATGTACCACCATGCCCAGCTAATTTTTTTATTTTTAGTAGAGACAGGGCTTCACCATGTTGGCCAGGATGGTCCTGATCTCTTGACCTCATGATCCGCCTGCCTCAGCCTCCCAAAGTGCTGGGATTACAGGCATGAGCCACTACATCCAGCCTGGAATGCAAATTTACATTTGCAAATTTATATACCAAAAAAAAAAGAAAAGAAATTATACCAGTACTATATTATCATTAATAAATTTTCATCAGAAAGTTCTGGCTGGGGAGTTCAAGACGAGCCTGACCAACATGGTAAAACCCCATCTCTACTAAAAATACCAAAATTAGCCAGATGTGGTGGTGCACACCTGTAATCCCAGCTACTCCGGAGGCTGAGGAAGGTGAATTGCTTGAACTCAGGAGGTGGAGGTTGCAGTGAGGTAAGACTGCGCCATTGCATTCCAGCCTGGGCAACAGAGCAAGACTTCATCTCAAAAAAAAAAGAAAAGAAAATTCTGGCCCAGTACAGTGGCTCATGCCTGTAAGCCCAGTACTTTGTGACAATGAGGCGAGCAGGTCACCTGCAGCCAGGAGTGCGAGACTAGCCTGGCCAACATGGTGAAATCCTGTCTCTACAAAAAATAGAAAAATTAGCCAGGTATGGTGACATGTGCCTATGGTCCCAGCTACTCGAGAGCCTGGGGCAGGAAAATTGAACCAGGTGGCAGAGGTTGCAGTGAGCCAAGATTGTGCCATTGCACTCCAACCTGGGCAACAGAGTAAGACTCCGTCTCAAAAAAAAAAAAAAGAAAGAAAGAAAGTTCTGCCGGGCGCGGTGGCTCACACCTATAATCCCAGCACTTTGGGAGGCCGAGGCGGGTGGATCATGAGGTCAAGAGATCGAGATCATACTGGTCAACAAGGTGAAACCCCGTCTCTACTAAAAATACAAAAATTAGCTGGGCATGGTGGTGCGCACTACTCAGGAGGCTGAGGCAGGAGAATTGCTTGTTCCCAGGAGGTGGAGGTTGCGGTGAGCCGAGATCGCACCATTGCACACTCCAGTCTGGGTAACAACAGTGAAACTCTGTCTCAAAAAAAAAAAAAAAAAGAAGAAAGTTCTGTGGCATAAATTCTATGAAGCTAATTTATTCCTATGTTGGTCTGCTACTCCATTATCAATTCTTTTTCATTTTTATAACACTGAAATTATTTTGATTACATTCAGTTCTTTTTCATGTAAATATTTATCCTTCATCAGTTCTTTACCCACATCACATTCTTGCCAACTATAGCATCTGCCATTATAAATTTAATTGTGGCTTTTATTTTTATCATTTTCAAGGCTGCCAGTCAAATATCTTAAATTTAAGTTTTATCAAGATTTGCTTCTCTTCACAGTTGGTGTCTCCCTATGTGCAGTTTTAGCCATTATCTGTCTTGTTAATTTCAACTTAAAATATTCATTACCTACTGGATGAGAGAATAGCCATATTTCCCTCTTAGCTGATCTGTAGAAAATTGAAAACAATTATCTTCGAGAGGTCTGAAACTGCTGTGGCATCACTGGTGTCCAGAATTTCTTCTCTCAGTTGTTCCATACTGGAATGGCCTCTGACATGCCCTTCTCCCCAGAAGTGTCACACATGCCCTGGGTTCTCCTTGGTCTCTTGATCAGGGTCCAGATCCCCTCATGGCAAAATGGCAGGATCAGCTGGGCATGGTGCTTCACACCTGTAATCCCAGCACTTTGGGAGGCCCAGGTGAGTGGATCACTTGAAGTCAATTTCAGACCAGCCTAGCCAACATGGCGAAACTCCATCTCTACTAAAAATACAAAAAGTAGTCATGCATGGTGGTGTGTGCCTATAGTCCCAGCTATTCGGGAGGCTGAGGCAGGAGAATCGTTTGAACCCAGGAGGCAGAGGCTGCAGTGAGCCGAGATCACACTACTTCACTCCAACCTGGGTGACAGAGCAAGACTTGGTCTCAAAACAAAATGGCAGGATCAGACCATCTTGCCCCAGGGTGAGGCAGGCAGCATCCCTGGCCAAGGGAACGGCATTAGCAGAGCCTTGCAGGAACATCTGGGAACCCCTAAAGCACCTAACTGAACCAAAACAGAGGTGAGAAGGAAATGAATGAGGTAGTGGGGCATCAGATTCCCACCAGTATCCAGCCCTGGAGGCCAGAATGCCAGCCACGCTGAGTCTTTGCCATTCTTCTCTCCTCTAGAATGCTTCGGACATGCCTGAAACGATCACCAGCCGGGACGCCGCCCGCTTCCCCATCATTGCCAGCTGCACACTCCTGGGGCTCTACCTCTTTTTCAAAGTAAGTCTTTTGCCACCTATTGTGTCCTTTGATTTAAATGACTTTATTTTATTTAATTTATTTTTACCATCACAAGAGCCATGCATGTTCATTTATAGAAAATAAAGAGCAGAGAAAAAGTAGTAATTCACCCATAGATCTACCCAAAGAGAGCAACTGTTAGTGTTTGGGACGCTTTCTCACTAGTCCGTATTTCTTTTCTCCATGTAGCTTTTTGTTTTGTTTTTGTGATACCAGTTTGGTTTCATTGTACCGTTTATGTTGGGATGGGGTATAGCTTGTGCTCAGACATACCTCTACCATACTAATCGCCTTTTTTTTTTTTTAATTTATCGAGGTTTATTTTCCCAATAAAAGTTACACAGGCTCAGTGTTGAAAACCTGGAAAACACAGAAAAGTAAAAAGGGGAAAACAGCAGCCATCCAAAACCCCACTACCAGAGACAGCCACAGTTTCCCTTCGGAGGTGTGTCCTGCCACTGTTTCTCCCTGTGCATGGTTTCTCTGTAGCTGTGACCACATGGTGTATTCAGTTTGTAGCTGCTTCTCTCACTTCACATTAATAACATCAAAGCATTTTCTCATGTTCCTGCAGACTCTCCTTAGCTGTACTATTTTCTGGATTATAAAAGTAATAAATTCAGAAAATCTAAAGAAAGTATATCAAGAGAAGGAAAAACAAATTCCACAAGACAGAGGGTAGTCATCAACATTTTGGCCTATCTCCTTTCGGGCTTTTTATTTATTTATTTTAGGACAGGATCTCACTCTGTCATCCAGGCTGGAGCACAATGGCACCATCACAGCTCACTGCAGCCTCAAACCTCTTGGGCTCAAGAGATCCTCTCACCTCAGCCTCCCAAGTAGTTGAGACTATGGCCGCGTGTCACCACTACACCCAGCTAATTTTTTCTTTTAGTAGAATCAAGATCTCGCTTTGTTACCCAGGCTGGTCTCAAACTCCTGGGCTCAAGTGACCCTTTCACCTCTGCCTCCAAGAGTTTAATCCTGCTAGGATTACAGGCATAAGCCACTGCATCCATCCTTTCCCGGCTTTTAATAAGCATATATTTAGCATTATTATAATCATATTTTAACTGTAGTGTTAAAACTTTTCTTGTTTTTGTTAGGTTTTTCTTTGTTTATTGGTTTGTTTAGAGACAGGGTCTCGCTCTTACCCAGCCTGGAGTGCACCGGTGCAATCATGGTTCACTGCAACCTCAACTCTTGGACTCAAGTAGAAGACTGGCTGATTTTTTTTTTTTTTTTTTTTTTTGAGACAGAGTCTTGCCCTGTCGCCCAGGCTGGGTTGCAATGGCGCGATCTCAGCTCATTGCCACCTCTGCCTCCCAAGTTCAAGTGATTTTCCTGCCTCAGCCTCCTGAGTAGCTGGGATTACAGGCACATCCCACCATGCCTGACTAATTTTTGTATTTTTAGTAGAGACAGGGTTTCACCATGTTGGTTAGGCTGGTCTTGAACTCCTGACCTCGTGATCTGCACTCCAGCCTGGCGACAGAGCAAGACTGTCTCAAAAAAAAAAAAAACTACAAAAAATTAGTCCAGCATGGTGGCACGAACCTGTGGTCCCAGCTACTCAAGAGGCTGAGGCAGGAAAATCACTTGAACCCAGGAGGCAGAGGCTGCAGTGACCCAAGATCACACCACTGCACTCCAGCCTGAGCAACAAAGCGAGACTTTGTCTCAATAAAAAAAATTATATATATTTTTATATATATATATAATTTGTATACATGTAGGCCTGTCGCAGTGGCTCACCTGTTATCCTAGCACTTTGGGTGGCTAAAGTGGGAGGATCACTTGAGCTCAGGAGTTAGAGACCAGTGTGGGCAACATAGTGAGACCCCATCTCATTCATAAGTAAATAAATAAACTGGCCGGGTGTGGTATCTCATGCCTCTCATCCCAGCCTCTCATCCCTGTCTCTACTAAAAATACAAAAATTAGCCAAGCACGGTGGTATGCACCTGTAATCCCAGCCACTCAGGAGGCAGGGGCAGGAGAATCTCTTGAATCACTGTCACCCAGATTGGAATGTGGTGGCGTGATCTCGGCTCACTGCAACCTCCGCCTCCCAGATTCAAGCGATTTTCCTGCCTCAACTTCCCAAGTAGCTGGGACTATAGATGTACATCATCACATCCAGCCAGAAATCCTCTTTTTTGTTCTTTTTTGTTGTTTTGTTTTTTGAGACAGAGTCTCTCTGTCACCCAGGCTGGAGTACAGTGGCACGATCTCAGCTCACTGCAATTTCTGCCTCCCAAGGTTCAAGCAATTCTCCCAAAGTTCAAGCAATTCTCAGCCAGCCTGGGCAACATAGCAAGGTCCCCTTTTCTTCTGTAGGACCTGAGTATAATAAATCCTTTGATTTCTCCTCCCTCAGACTCCTGAGAAATGCTCTTTTTAATGGTTACAGGGTATTCCTACAAGCAACCAGCCTGGGCAACATAGCAAGACCCCATCTCCACAAAAAATTTAAAAATTGGCCGGGCACGGTGGCTCACACCTGTAATCCCAGCACTTTGGGAGGCCGAGGGGGGTGGATCACGAGGTCAAGAGATCAAGACCATCCTGGTCAACATGGTGAAACCCCGTCTCTACTAAAAATTCAAAAAGTTATCTGTGCACAGTGGCGCGTGCCTGTAATCCCAGCTACTCAGGAGGCTGAGACAGCAGAATTGTCTGAGGCGGAGGTTGCGGTGAGCCGAGATCCCGCCACTGCACTCCAGCCAGGGTAACAAGAGCAAAACTCCATCTCAAAAAAAAAAAAAAAATTTTTTAAATTAGCCAGACGTGGTGGTACAGGCTTATACTCCCAGCTACTCAGGAGGTTGAGGCTGAAGGATGACTTGAGCCCAGGGGTTCAAGGCTATGGTGAGCTATGATCACACCACTGCACTCCAGCCTTGACACGCATGTGACCCTGACAATAAAAGAGGAAGAATATCCCTACAGGCAGATACAGCATAGTTGACTTACAGCATCCCCTGCACTTTAAACAGAAAATGTCATTCTGATTTTTACTCTAAGAAATAAGAGTGCATTAAATAACATTGACTATTCACAGATTTTTTTTTCTTTTTTCCTGGACTTTGGGTGAAGAGCTGAATTTATCAAATGCCTTGGTTCATAGCATTCCATCCTCAGTCCATGTCAGGCCCCCCCTACTTTGTTTTTTTTTTTTTTTTTTCTCCCACTTCTCTCCAATATCCACCTTCATTTCTCTCCCTACCAGAGCCAACTGCTTGAATGCATTTGACTTCTGTCCTTAGATGTGTATGTTTCTTATAAAATGTGTAGTGTTGGTGTGTCTGTGTGTATGAGTGACAGTCGCATTTCCATAAATAGACTGTGCATTGCATCTCCCTCTGTTTGCTTTTCTGCTCCCTCTACTTTAAGATCTCTCTGTGGCCCTGATACATCCAGCCCATTGCTTCTTCCTTTGTTTTTGGCAGATAGTTCTGAAGTCCTGAGAGACCTTCTAACATTTTTAGTATTTAGGATTCTTTCCTTAGACCAGATGCTCCCAAAAGGAATTTCTGGCAGCAGTGGGTGTGAGCATTCTTATTTAAGGCACTGGCTTCCTGTTGCTCAGCCTTTCCTCCTCTCTGGGCAGGTAAGCCTCAGTCTGTCTCGTGCCAGAAGCACAGAGTATACCTCTTCTCCTGCCACCAGAGTGTCCCCAATAAGATTTCTGAAAGGCAGCTGCCTAGACAACACAGCCACTGGGCTCCTCCTAGACTCCTCACCAATATCTGGCTGGTTGGTTTGCTTAACAGAAAAATAGCCCACCACAGCGGCTCTCCCTCAGCCCTTTTCCTCCCTTCCTCCTGGTTGGGGCACTGGAGTTTATAACTACATTGTACATTTTTAAAACTTCAGGGCTGGGCATGGTGGCTCACGCCTATAATCCCAGCACTTTCGGAGGCTGAGGTGGACAGATCACCTGAAGTCAGGAGTTGAGACCAGCATGGCCAACATGGTGAAATGTGTCTCTACTAAAAATACAAAAATTAGCTGGGCATGGTGGCACATGCCTGTAGTCCCACCTACTTGGGAGGCTGAGGCAGAAAAATCACTTGAACCCGGGAGGCGGAGGTTGTGGTGAGCCGAGAATGTACCACTGCACTCCAGCCTGGGTGACAGAGTGTGACTCCATCTCAAAAAAAAAAGACAATGACAAAAAAAACTTCATATTTTCCTGATGCCTCAACATCCCACAAACAGGCTATGAACACTTTGCCCAGGTGAAGAGGTGCTCCTGTGATAAGGCTGGTCCCTGCCACAAGTTCCCCTTCTCGCCCTCCTCTACTGTGACCTAGTGACATTCAGACACATGAGTGAGATTCCCTTTTGCTGTGTCTTCCACCCTGAGCCCCAAAGAAGGCACTGACCCATGGCTTTCCTTCTGTAGGACTTGTGAGTATAATAAATCCTTTTATTTCATATGCCTCTCTCTCAAGGACGTTCACTCTGAGTTTAGAATGATCCCATCCTCATCACCAATTGTGTTGTAAAAAGGAAGTCCCCTTTGTGAATTTTTTTTTGTTTTTAGAGACAGGGTCTTACCCTTTCACCCAGACTGGAGTCCAGTGATGTGATCATGGCTCATGGTAACTTTAAACTCCCAGGCACAGGTAATCCTCCCACTTCAGCCCCCTGGGACTGCAGGCATGCACCACCACACCAGCCTAATTTTCTTTTATTTTTTGTAGTGATGGGATCTTACTTTGTTGCCCATGCTGGTCTTAACTCCTGGCCTCAAGCAATCCTCCACCTTGGCCTCCTAAAGTGCTGGGATTACAGGCATGAGCCACTGCATCCAGCCCCCTTTATGAAGTCTTTAAGGATCACTCCAACACAGCCACAGAAACTATGCTCAGAAATTACAGGATTTACTATATTCACATGTTTAGAGAAGCAGGCATGCATGCCACACATGGGGGCCATATGGGAGGTGCTCCCAGGAAGCCACTCAACCAAACAGGTAGGGAGAGGGGGCAGGACAGAGGGAGGAAAGGGGAAGGGAAGACCCCTGGGCAAGTGCCTTTGTTGGGGCTCCAGGTGGTATAAGCAAAGGGCATGAGGGGATTTACTGGTGTGTTTGAATGGCATTAGGTCATAAAAGAAGAGGACCAAAAAAAAAGAAAGAAAGAAGAGGACCAGAGGCTGGGTGTCATGGCTTATGCCAGCAATCCCAGTACTTTGGGAGGCCAGGCAGGCAGATTGTTTGAGCCCAGGAGTTCAAGATCAGCCTGGCCCACATGGTGAAACCCTGTCTCTACAAAAAATACAAAAATTAGCCAGGCGTGGTGGCACACACCTGTAGTCCCAACTACTTGGGGGCTGAGGCAGGAGAATCGCTTGAACCCTGGAGGTCGAGGCTGTACTGAGCCAAGATCAGACCACTATACACCAGCCAGGGCAATAAAGTAAGACCCTGTTTCAAAAATTAAAACGAAGAAGAAGAGGGCCAGAAGGAGAACCTGGGCAGAGTGTTCGTAGCCTATTTGTGGGGATGTTGAGGCATCTGTAAAATGTTTTTTAAATAAGTTTTAAATTTTTATAATACAGTAACATTTCACAAAATCATAGCATTTACTTTACCCAACCATATTTAAAATTGATTCCTTTGAGGCAACTCAAAAAATTAAATCCAACAGCATAAGAAATAGAGTTAAAGGAGAAAATTAGGATAAAACAAGCCTTGGGTGAGGACCACACCCATACCTCATGCTCTAAAGCCTTGTACTCTTGCTAGAAATGGGCTTAGTTGTGGCTCTGACTCTTTAGCAGCCAAAACACAAAGGAAAATGAGACCTGGTGCTCAGTCCACATGGGTTACAGTGAAACCAACCAGAAGCTCAGGGTGTGGCCTGAGAGCAGTTTGCCCCAAGGGCTCACACTGAAAGAATGCAATGCAAGAAGTATGCCACATCTTCAAAATACAGCACAATCCATATGCCTACAGAATCTGCTCACAGGTCTTCTTGTAGCACTGACATTATGAACCACCAATGTGCCCTTCCATTCAGTCATTCTGTATTTATTGAGAGCCTGCTACAACGGGCCCTGTGCTGGGTACTGGGGATACTGAAGTGAAGAAAACAGCTGACCATCGCTGTCCTCAAGAAGCATCTTGTTAAGCGGTACAGACATCAGTCACTAGATAGATGTGAAGTTACAGCTCCATGAAGTGCTTCCAGGAAAGCATGGAAGCACCAGCTCAGTGTGAACCTCCACCCAGGGTGAAGCTTCTGCCCAAGCCCCTTATCCATGACAATAGCACCTGCATCGACCTAGCTCAGCCGAAACCCCAGGAGTCATCCTTGTCCCTGCCCCCTCAAGCCCTCATTTCCAGCCCCTTCACACATCTTGCAGCTCTAATTCCAGAACAGATCTGGAGGCCAGATGTGGTGGGTCATGCCTGTAATCCCAGCACTTTGGGAGGCCACGGTGGGTGGATCACCTGAAGTCAGGAGTTCGAGACCAGCCTGACCAACACAATGAACCCCTTTCTCTACTAAAAATATAAAAGTAGCTGGACATGGTAATGCATGCCTGTAATCCCAGCACTTTGGGAGGCCGAGGTGGGTGGATCACCTGAAGTCAGGAGTTCGAGACCAGCCTGACCAACACAATGAACCCCTTTCTCTACTAAAAATATAAAATTAGCTGGACATGGTAATGCATGCCTGTAATCCAAGCTACTTGGGAGGGTGAGGCAGAAGAATCCTTGAACCCAGGAGGTAGAGGTTACAGTGAGCCAAGATTGCACCATTGTACTCCAGCCTGGAAAGTAAGAGTTAAACTCCATCATCTTGGATGGATGGAAAAAAGCAGAACAGATCTGGAATCCTTCCACTGCTCAACTTCCCCTCCATCACCCCAGACCAGGGCACCATCCCCCTTTCCTGTTCCCTGCTTCTACTCTTGCCCTATAGGGTCCAGAGGAGCCCTCTCACACTGTCTGATCATGTCAAACTCTGCCCTCACCATTCCAGTACCAGCCTGTCTCTCCAAGGCAGATCTAAAGAATTCCCCATGGCACTTCAGGGTCTGGCTCCCTCTTCCCTCCCATCCTCTCTCCTGACACTGTCCCCATGCTCCCTTAGCTCTGGGCTCTCAGGCCGTCTGTAGTCCCTGCACACATTAACATGCACCCACCTCAGGACCTTTGCAGCTGCTCCCTTCATTTATGACTCTGCTCCTTTGTCCTCTCCAGAGCCTTCCCTGACCACCTGTCTAAAATAGCAGCTCTACCCCTTCATTCTCTGTCTCCCTGCCCTGGTTTGCTTTTCTTAGTGCCCATTACCACCTGACGGTATATTATTTGTAACTGTTTCTTTCAAGATTCTTTCTACTTCACTGTCCTGTGAGCTCTAGGGGAGCAGCAACTTTGCCCGATTCCTTGCTGAGTCACCAGTGCCCTGCACATAGTAGGCAATCAGTCACTATGGGCTGAATTACTGAGGGGTTGATTGTGTCATAGAAATTATGTGAGCAAAGCCTCTCTGATCTGGGAGCTAAAGAAGGCCTTGGTGAAGAGAGAAGAGAGGAGAAAATCTCAGGCAGCAGGAGAGCTTGAACACGGCTGCCTGTGGGTGGACATGTAGCACACACATTGCACTGCAGAAAGGCCAGTGTGGCTGTAGTGTGCAGAGTGAGAACATGTGTGAGCCCAGGCTCTGGAGACCTGTAGTGGCCACCACAAGGGCAAGAGGCCAACAGGTGGATGTGAGCTTCCAGTTTATGAGAGCAGAGGGTAGCTGCAGAGCAGCTTCCAGGAAAGGAGTGACATGATCTGACTGGTGTTCAGCAGATTGAAAAACAGCCCTGCTTGAGAGAGGCCAGTTTTCCTACACCCCACACAGGAGCATATTTTTCCCTCCCAGTTAGAGACCATCACAGTAACATACTCAGCAGCAATGCAGCAAACATGGTGCACATGATATAGCATTTCCGAAGTCTGGAATTAACACATGACCATTGACTGGAGCATTGTGACAGAATATTTCTCAGTTTCACCTAACAATAAAAAGACCAAGAAGCAGCTTCCAGGAATGCTGTCATAGCTTTAGCCACCACTGCAGGAGGAGTCATCAGAAAGCAGGCTGTGGAAAATGGAGTGGGACAGATGTCTTGTAAACAGCATGCTTGGGGCGTGGGTGGCCACTCTGTAGGGGCTTCCTGGATCATTAAACAGGGAGAAGGAAATGTGGAAGAGTAAGTTCCGAGGTTCCAACAGTTCTCATGAGGCTCTATACTAAAGACCCCTATCCCTTCAGAACCCCTGTGCAGCATTCTTAGCACAAACATAATTGCCTCTCTCCAGATAATGGAGCCACTAAACATAAACCTACAGACCCCTTTGCAAGGTATGTCGGGGGGCTTGAGGTTTCTCCCTTCTCCCCCACAGCTGCAGAAATTAGAACACCACTAGTATTGTCTGAGACTCTTCTTGACTGCTCCCCAACTCAAGAAGTGTGTAACAAACCTCCAGAAGAGAAGCAGGGATTCTGGTTTCCTCACAGCCACTGACAACCCTAACTTCCTGTTTCTCTTTGTATTTCTGCCTCAGATATTCTCCCAGGAATACATCAACCTCTTGCTGTCCATGTATTTCTTCGTGCTGGGAATCCTGGCCCTGTCCCACACCATCAGGTCAGAAGGCATCTCTCTGCAACATTTGAAGGAGCTTTATCGGGAGCCAGTACAGGGTCTTGGATGAGAACATGACTTTTGGCATCATTCAGAGCCAGGTTTGAATCCTGGCTGTAAAACTCAAGGGACTCTTTCCCCTACACACTGTAGATGACTAGGACAAGAATAACCTCTCTGGGCCACAGTTTCCTTATAGGAATAATGAGAATCTGGTGGCTGTTTCCACCACCACAGCTTTGGGAAAGTGATTTGTGAGCAGCAATGTCATGTTAGTTGGGACAGTACTCAGGTGAGTAACACCATTACCACCTGCCGACGCTGTGGCCTAGCTGTGTACGAAGCACCATCAGGGCTCCTCACACCTGATGCTGCTTCATAAGGAGCCAGAAGCAGCACAATGAGAAGTGAGGAATGCAGGCTCTGGAATTTGACTACCTGACTTTGAGTCCAGACACTGCCACTTAATAGCTCTGTGATCTTGGGCACATTACTTAATCTCTCTGGCCTCAATTTCCTCATGAATGTGGAGAAAAATAATAGTACCCTTCCCGTGGGGTCATGTGGAAAGCTTTTAGCACAGTACCTTGTGATTTAAAGTGTTCAATAACTACTAGCTGTTAACCATTAGCTATTACTGTTATGTGTGTTAACTTGCCAGACATCTGTAAATGGGTGGCTTTGGCTTTCTTTCACACCTGTATAATAGTCAGGGAAACTGAAGCCCAGAGAAGTTAAGGAATTTGCTAGGATCACATCGCTGTTAAGCAACAGAGCCAGGATTCAAACCCCGGTGTGTGGCTCTAGAGCCCATCCTCTTCCCACTGCTGTCCTAACTCAAATTGCCACACGCTTATGTCTTTTCAGTGGTTAGGCCAGTTCATTAGAGGGGTCTGCTATTTTTATTTCAGACGGTCCAGTTCTCCACTCTGCGGGACTATCCCACACATTAGAAACAGTTGGCCTCCTGCTCTGTTTACCAAATGGGAGTTGCACACAAGTCTTCTCCAGCTTGTGACTATATATAAAGATGTCCCGGTATGTTCTGTCTACCCGCTGAAGTGGTGCAGCCTCAGGCTGAGAACCACTGATAGACCAAGACGTGGTCAGGGAAAGTTCCCAGAAGGAAGGAACTCGACTTGAACTTAGCTTTCTTTGAAGGGTAGGAAACCTCGGAGACATACAAAAGCGGGAGAGCCCAGGTCCTAGAAAGTTTGTCCACACTGAGGGCATAGGCAGAATCTGCTCCCCAAAGCACTGAAAGCCAATATGTGGCCGGGCGTGGTGGCTCACACCTATAATCCCAGCACTTTAGGAGGCCAAGGCAGGTAGATCATGAGATCAGGAGATAGAGACCATCCTGGCCAACATGGTGAAACCCCATCTCTACTAAAAATACAGAAAAATCAGCCAGGTGTTGTGGCCTGCACCTGTAATCCCAGCTACTCAGGAGGCTGAGGCAGTAGAATCACTTGAACCTGGGAGGCAGAGGTTGCAGTGAGCTGAGATCGCGCCACTGTACGTCAGCCTAGCAACAGAATGAGACTCTATCTCAAAAAAAAAAGAAAGAAAGCCAACATGAGTGTGACATCATTCCCTCATTCTTCTAGGCACAATGGCGGGACAGTGTGGTAGTCAGGAGCATAGGGTCAAGAGGCAGGCAACCCTGGGACCAACACCTGGCGCTGCCAGCTCTAATTTGTGTAAGTTACCCAAGCTCTGAGCATCAGTTCTTCTACCTAGAAAATGGAGAGACTGCAGGTACCTCCTCAGAGATGTGGGGAGTATCTAGTGAGCCCCAGGCTGTAACATCCTTAGAGCACAGTGCCAAGCACACAGTGAGCCTGATGGCTGGCCCAGGGTTACACAGCTGGACTTCACATCTGGTATTCCAACTGAGGTCACTGTTGTCCTCACCTGCGCTGACTCTTCACCCACAAAATTTTATTCTAGCTAGCTTGGGAGGATTCTAGTCCAGCCCTCCATGCTGAAAAATGGAGGCCCACAGAACCTGAGTGACTGGGACCTAACCAAGATAATGGCAGGCCCAGTGGCCCTTGCTTACAGGACAAGTTCATTAGAGTGGACCTGGGGTGGGATGGGGCAGTCGGCTGGGTGTCCTCCCAAGCACTGGGTGTCCTCCTTTCCCATGCTAATTAGGATCTGCCCCATCTCTAGCCAATCCTACCCCAGCATCTGTGACAGACTTGAGACCCCCAAGTCTCCACACAGCCCAGCCTCCACCTCAGAGAGAACCCAGTGTGTTTTGAAAGCCACTGTTAGGCTGCGTGCTGAGGAACTGATTATTTAACGTTCTTGCAGCAACCCTTCATGAAGATCTTATCTCTACCCAGCTGCCCAAGCAGGGTATTTTGAAATTCCATCATCTTGACACCAAAGACTTTTTTTTCCTTTTAGAACAATAACTGAGGGACATCGTCCCAAATTTCTTGTAGACTAATCAAGAAATAATAACTGGGCACGCTGGCTCATGCCTGTAATCCCAGCACTTTGGGAGGCCAGGGCAGGCAGATCACGAGGTCAGGAGTTCAAGACCAGGCTGGCTAACATGGTGAAACCTTATTTCTTCTAAAAATACAAAAATTAGTTGGGCATGGTGGCACATGCCCAGCTACTCAGGAAGCTGAGACAAGAGAATCGCCTGAACATGGGAAGCAGCGGTTGCAGTGAGCCGAAATCTTGCCATTGCACTCAAGCCTGGGCAACAGAGCGAGACTCCATCTGAAAAAAAGAAAATTAGCCAGGCATGGTGGCACATGCCTATAGCCCCACTCCGGAGACTGAGGCAGGAGAATCGCTTGAACCTGGAGGCAAAGGTTGTAGTGAGCCAAGATCGCGCCATTGCACTCCAGCCTGGGTGACAGAGCAAGACTCCATCTCAAAAAAAAAAAGAAAAAGATATAATTGAGGTTGGACATGGTGACTCACACCTGTAATCCCAGCACTTTGGGAGGCCAAGGCAAGTGGATCATCTGAGGTCAGGAGTTCAAGACCATCCTGGCAACACGGTGAAAACCCATCTCTAATAAAAATACAAAAATGTAGGCTGGTCACGGTGGCTCATGCCTGTAATCCTAGCACTTTGGGAGGCTAAGCTGGGCAGATCACCTGAGGCTGGGAGTCAGACCAGCCTCGCCAACATGGAGAAAGCCCATCTCTGCTAAAAATACAAAATTAGCCTGGCATGGTGGCGCATGCCTATAATCCCAGCTACTCAGGAGGCTGAGGCAGGTGAATCACTTGAACTTGGGAGGCAGAGGTTGCAGTGAACCAACATCACGACATTACACTCCAGCCTGGGCAACAAGAGCGAAACTCCATCTCAAAAAAATAAAAATAAAAAAAGTAGCTGGGTGTGATGCCACGCCCCTGTAATCCTGGCTACTCAGGAGGCTGAGGCAGGAGAATCGCTTGAACCCGGGAGGTGAAGGTCGCAGTGAGTTGAGATAGCACCACTGCATTCCAGCCTGGATGACAGAGGGAGACTCCATCTACAAAAGAAAAGAAATAACTGATTGCCTATGTCTTTTAGCTACTTCATAATTTTTAGAGATAGATATTATTAACAGAAAATAAAACCAACAACAGCTAAAACTGCACATGGTAAAATGTATGGTTGACTAGAAACCAACAGAAGAATCATTTTCTTAATGAAATTTAGAGCAACAGGCCGGGCATGGTGGTTCATGCCTATAATCCCAGCACTTTGAGAGACCGAGGCGGGTGGATCACGAGGTCAAGAGATTGAGAGCATCCTGGTCAACAAGGTGAAACCCCGTCTCTACTAAAAATACAAAAATTAGCTGGGCGTGGTGGTGCGCGCCTGTAGTCCCAGCTACTTGGGAAGCTGAGGCAGGAGAATTGCTTGAACCCAGGAGGCAGAGGTTGCAGTGAGCTGAGATCATGTCATTGTACTCCAGTCTGGGTAACAACAGCGAGACTCCGTCTCAAAGAAAAAAAAAAAAGAAATTTAGAGCAACAAAATTTGACCTAGGAAAACCATGCCTTTTAAAAATAACGGATCTGCCGGGCATGGTGGCTGACACCTGCATCCCAATACTTTGGGAGGCTGAGGCGAGTGGATCACCTGAGCCCAGGAGTTTGAAACCAGCCTGGGCAACATGTTGAGACCCTGTCTCCACAAAAAATGCAAAAATTAGCCAGATATGGTGATGCATGCCTGTGGTCCCAGCTACTCAGGAGGTTGAGGTGGGATGATTGCTTGAGCCTGGAGGCAGAGGTTGCAGTGAGCTGTGATCATGCCACTCTAGCCTAGGTAACAGAGTGAGACCCCATCTCAAAAATAAAAAAATAAAAATAATGGCTGGCCATAGGCAGAAGGGATGCTCACCATATGGGGTTAAAGCTGGTCTACTAAAAAATTTGATGGGGACTAAAAACTGCCAGATGAAGGAAATTGTTACTGTAAAATTTACATGGAAAAAAACTGAATCCAATGAAAAGAATTGTATAAGGTAGGGAATAATTTGATTGTGCTTTTTAGAAAGTTGGTCCTCTAATTAAATTTATGTTTCTTCTTCAATTAAATTGAGTTTTCTTACATATTTTCTCAAGGAAAGTCTACAGTGTTGTTAGAATTTTGATCAGCTGTCTGTATCCACAAACTCAGACCTTCCTCAGGATCCAAACAACAGATCCAAAGGTTTAAGACAGGGAAATTGAGGCTCAGAGGGTTATGTGACCACCAGGATTCACAGCTGGTAATGGCAAAGTGAGGTTTTGAGCTCAGGTTATGTCTGACTCCAAAACCACTATTCTTTACAGTTTTGGCAAAAGTGAAGACGGGGGAGCTTAAAGAGGGTGGGCTGGCCACCTCCTGTCATTGAACCTGTGGTCTCCCGGGGATTGGCAGCAGAGAGGCCTGCTGAAAGGGTGCAGAGAGCTGCACCTGAGCTGCGTCAGCACAGGCTGAGGTTCTCTTAGGATCCCTTCCACCTCCACTGCCACCTCCTAGCCCACTTGAAGCCTCTTTGGGAACAAACCCCAGCCTGGGATATTGGAGGAAGGCAGGGGCCATAGCCTGCCTTACCTTGTAAAGTGACCAAGATTCAAACCCAAGACATTCTTCCTGCAAAGGGAACCTTGGCTTACTTCATCATCTGTGTCTGAGCTCATGCCCCACCCAGCTGACCTTAGAGGGAAAAAAGGGCCAGATCTGCCACCCCAGAGGAGGAAGCAATATCACCAGTTTCACTCACCCTGCCTTCCACACCCAGGGGAGAAGGGCACCAGGATGTGGCTTGTCAGTGGGAAACAATGACCTTTACGTTTGACATGAGCCACTGAGGGCCAGGAAGAATCTGCCTGCTATAAGTCTGCATTCAGAGTCATTCAGCAAGCATTTAGCAAATGTCTAGCAGGCACCAGGCATCTTCACCTCAAGGTGGGGTGACGACGAGACATCTGCTGTCATGTCCACAGACTTGCGCTAGCCAGGTCGCCTGACTCTTAGTGCTGAGCAGCCCCTCTTTTCTCAGAATAACAAAGATACCAATCTAGAGACTTGCTACTTGGAGTTGAAGCTGCAGTTACATTTATAGGTGCTCATTTAATTCTCTCCGTAGCAGACCACTAATAAGGGCAGAGTTAGGATTTGAGCCCAGGAAGTCTGGCTCCAGAGTCCATGTCCTTAATTGTCACACTGCTGGTTGAGAAGCTGAGCACCAAGCTCCTAAGGAAGAGACCAACTACGCTGGGCAAAGGGCTTAGCTCCTCAGGCTGCCCCTCTGCCTCCATCTATACTTGCACTCACACCCTGGCTTCAGACTCCCTCAGAACTGATTCAGCAAACTAATCTGAGAGTTCTTCCAGTCAGCCACCCAGCTTCTGCCTCCCACTGCCTTAGAGCCCTGCTGTGGGAACCCATTTCTGATTCTGCCTTTGCACCTGCTGCACCTCTGTTCACAAAGCCCTCCCATCATTCATGCCCTTTGAATGGGAGCGATCAGCTCTTTGACAAGTGGAGAAATGGAGGCCCAAAGATGGTTGTTTTTTTTTTTTTTTTTTGAGATGGAGTCTCACTGTGTTGCCTAGGCTGGAGTGCAATGGCACAATCTTGGCTCACTGCAACCTCCCCTTCCTGGGTTCAAGCGATTCTCCTGTGTCAGCCTCCCAAGTAGCTGGGATTACAAACATGTATTATCATGCCCAGCTATTTTTTCTATATTTTTAGTAGAGACAGGGTTTCACCATGTTGGCCAGGATGGTCTCAATCTCGGACCTTGTGATCCGCCCACATGAGCCTCCCAAAGTGCTGGGACTACAGGCATGAGCCACCGCACCTGGCTGCCTGGCTAATTTTTGTATTTTTTCAGTAGAGATGAGGTTTCACAATGTTGGTCAGGCTGGTCTCCAACTCCTGACCTTAAGTGATCTGCCCACCTCAGCCTCCCAGATGTTGGGATTACAGGCATGAGCCACCAAGCCTGGCCAGAGATGACTCTTGAATCTATACCTTGCTCCATGCCACCAGCATCTTTAGAAGAGAGTTTCTTTTCCCTCCCTTTATCACTGTGACCTGAGTACCTCCTGGCCTACCTCATCCCTGCTAAAGACCCCGTGCCAGGCAAAGCATTCGTCCTGCCTTCTTTCATATCTTCATAGCAATGCTCTGAGACGGGTGGTAATGTTAGCCCTATTTACAGGTGAGAAGATTGAGGTCCAGGGAGACAGAGCCACTGAAATGGCTCTCCCACAGCCACATGGCAGAGCAGGCCTCAGGGCTGGGCCACCCAGGCTTGTAGCCACTCCATAGTACTACCACCAGGCTGGGGCAAGAGGCCCTGGTTGACTCATCTTGCTCTGAAGGTCCAGAAAAGGTCTCCGCTTCCTGCCTGGCTAGGCGGTGGGGCATGCTGGGTAATCAGAGAGAATGGAGGCCAAGCTAGTCTTAAACAACAGAGAGGACTTGTGGAAGAAGTGACTGTGATGGCGATCCTGCCCAGGGGCTATGATTCATCTGGCTGATTGATTCCAGCTGAGTCTGTAAAAATCTCAGGCCTGTTGGAGAACAGAATGTCAAGTCATGAAGTAGGGTGGGGGTGACTGTCAGGTCATCTAACTTGATAGGTCTGGAAGGGAGTCCACAAATATGCTTCTTGACAGGGGACTCATAGGTGGCATGTGGGCCAGACTCCTCTGCTCTCCCAGAAATGGTATTTTGCCTGAAAGTCTAACTACTTCTGCTTTGCATTTCTTTAGTGTTAACAAAAAGGCGGTACAGAAATCACTAGGAGTGCAAAGACCTAGGTTTGAGTCTCAGCTGTTATAGGCCCCCTGTGTGACTCTGAGCAAGTCACTTACCTTTTGAGGACCTGGGTTTCCACATCTGTAGAGTGGAAACAATAACATCTGCCTATCAGGACAGCTTCAAGGGTGCCAGCTATAAAATGGGTAGGGGAGTGTTAAGGTTGACTGCCCATGGGGGCTCTGTTTGCCAACTTGCTTTGTCTTTCCTTCCAGCCCCTTCATGAATAAGTTTTTTCCAGCCAGCTTTCCAAATCGACAGTACCAGCTACTCTTCACACAGGGTTCTGGGGAAAACAAGGAAGGTCAGTGCTGCCCACCTTTCCCTGTAGCGTGCCTTGAGTGTCTTCCTCTGCCATTCCCTTTGTCTCTCCATTACTGGGGATCTCCAATAGAGCAAGTGATGGAAGAAGTGGGCTCTGAAATCTCATGGCCTGGATTCACATCCCAACTCTGCTGCTGCCTAGACGTGGGACCCTGGGTGAATGCCTTACCTCTCTGAGCACTGAGTGTTTTTGTTGTTTTTTTTTTTCCCATCTGTAAAATGAAAGTGTTAATCTAGTACCTCCTTTACGGTCACCTTGTTAAGATGGCGAGTCAATGATAAGTGGAAAGCATTCAGCACGCTGCTTGGCTCATAGTAAGCACTCAGTAAAACTTGGCCTTTGTGACTATTTTATTTGTGTATATTTTTAGTGTGATCACTGCCTCACCTAAGGTTTGAAAAGGGGGTTCCACAGCTCTTTTTCAAAAATAAAAACTGGCCAGGCACAGTGTCTCATGCCTATAATCACAGGACTTTGGGAGGCCATGACAGGATGATCACTTGAGACCAGGAATTTGAGACCAGCCTGGGCAACATTGTGAGACCTTATCTCTACAAAAAAATTAATTAAAAAAAAATTGCAAACTGTGGGGAATTGTGGAGATCCATACCCTAATTGCAGATTAATTAGGATATGGATTCAAATGCTATAACAAGATTATCAATAGTTTGACCAAATAGCAGTATTTCTTTTTTTTTTTTTTTTTTTTTTTTTTTGAGTCTGAGTCTCGCTCTGTCACCCAGGGTGGAGTACAGTGACATGATCTTAGCTCACAGCCAACTAAGTAGTTGGGATTACAGGGGTGTGCCACCACACCCAGCTACTTTTTTTATATTTTTAGTAGAGATAGGGTTTCGCTATGTTAGCCAGGCTGGTCTCAAACTCCTGACCTCAAGTGATCCACCCACCTCAGCCTCCCAAAAGCACTGGGATTACAGGTGTGAGCCACCCCGCCCAGCAGGTATTTCTCTTGTGTAAAATACTAAGCCTGTGGAATATAGCACTCTCGCTTACTGATGCACCTTCTGCCTTGTCCCTAACCAGCAGCAATTTTACATGATTGCTTTGTGCATCTCTAAGGAACCTCTGTCAATTAAACTTTTTTTTTTTTTTTTTTTTAAGGATAAGCTTGGGCTGGGTGAGGTGGCTCACACCTGTAATCTCAGCACTTTGGGAGGTTGAAGCAGGCAGATGACTTGAGGTTAGGGGTTCGAGACCAGCCCGGCCATTGTAGGGAAACCCGGTCTCTACTAAAAATACAAATTAGCCAGGGTGGCACGTACCTACAATCCCAGCTACTCAGGAGGCTGAGGCAGGAGAATCGCTTGAACCTGGGAAGGCAGAGGTTGCAGTAAGCCGAGATGGCGCCACTGCACTCCAACCTGGGCAACAGAGTTAGACCCTGTCTCAAAAACAAAACAAAACAAAAAATACTAAGGTTGGCCAGGCACGGTGGTTCACTCCTGTAATCCCAACACTTTAGGAGGCTGGCGCAGAAGGGTCACTTCAGCCCTGGAGTTCGAGGCTGCAGTAAGACACGGTCACAACACTGCACTCCAGCGTAGGCAACAGAGCAAGACCCTGTCTAAATAAATAAATAAATAAAATAGTAAAAAAGCTAAGCTTGTACCACAGAGTCTTCAAGGTCCCAGGCCCTATGTATTGCATGCTCCGCCATATCCAGTGCTGGCCCTCGGATCAGGATGGTGTCATCACTCCACTGTCCACCCAGAGGGAAGGCAAAACATCCATATCCCGGGTCCATTTAGCCATGAGAAGCTGGAAAATGGCTGTGAGTCGGCCTGTTGTCCGGTTAGAACTAACTCATTAGGTTGCGCACCTCCAGTCTCCTCTTCCGGCCAGGAGAAAGCATTCCTATCACTTCTTGCTTCTCAAGCCCTACGGCTTCAGCGGTCCTCATTGGAGAGGAATCAGCAATCGAAAGAAGAGCAAGCCAAGCACTGTCGTGACGTAGCTTTCAGAGAGCGGAAGTTGTCAGATTTCACCGAGCCGTAAAGCGCACTGGCTGTGTCATCTTCCGGTTAGCGACAACGGCTCTGACCGTCCGACAGTCCGCGTGGCGCCCGCGCCGGCCTTCCTGAGGCGGACTGTGCCGGAGCCTTCCAGATTCCGTTTGTTTCCCTGTTCTCGCCCGCTTCACCCTGGATCATGTTCAAGAAGTTTGATGAAAAGGAAAGTGTGTCCAACTGCATCCAGCTGAAAACGTCAGTTATTAAGGGCATTAAGAGCCAACTGATAGAGCAGTTTCCAGGTATTGAACCATGGCTTAATCAAATCATGCCTAAGAAAGATCCTGTCAAAATAGTCCGATGCCACGAACATACAGAAATCCTTACCGTAAGTGGGGAATTACTGTTTTTTAGACAAAGAAAGGGGCCTTTTTGTCCAACTTTAAGGTTGCTTCACAAATACCCTTTTATCCTGCCACACCAGCAGGTTGATAAAGGCGCTATCAAATTTGTACTCAGCGGAGCAAATATTATGTGTCCAGGTTTAACTTCTCCTGGAGCTAAGCTGTTCCCTGCTGCAGTAGATACGATTGTTGCAGTCACAGCGGAAGGAAAACAGCATGCTCTGTGTGTTGGGGTCATGAAGATGTCTGCAGAAGACATTGAGAAAGTCAACAAAGGAATTGGCATTGAAAACATCCATTATTTAAATGATGGGCTGTGGCACATGAAGACATATAAATGAACCTCAGAAGGAATGCGTTTGGGGGACTGGATGTGCATATTGACTGTGCTGTATGTGTGTTTGTGTCTGTGTGTAACAGCGTGAAGATACTGCCTCTGTGGTTATACGAAATAAGTTTAACAGCTACTTTAAAGAAAACAAATCGGGGTACTGTTACCACAGAGAAAAAAACAAATTAGGGGACAAGCAGCAAGCAGTCGGCTACACTCTGGACTCTGAAAGCAGTGGCTGGACCCTGTGACTCTCAAGCTCCACAGCCTCTCTTGTCCTCTTCTTAGGAAGCTTGGAAGCGATCAAGAATGTTCTAACATCAGGATGTTTACCACAAGGCCCCCACAAAAGCAGCCTTGGGGACTCCCGCCTTTCCTTAAGACCTGCACCTCTTAGCTTCTTCATCGTCTGCTAGTGAACTAAGGCTGCCGCTCACCTTCTTCATCCCTTTGGTGGCAAAGTAGAAAGATTCCAGAATTAACTCGGACTTCCTTTTAGACCTGGGCTCAGTGGCAGCTGACACTGACTGAGCACCCGCTTTGTGCCAGGCACTGTGCTGAATGCATTGTAAGGACTTTCTTACTTATTCCCCACAGCAGCCTTAAGAGGGGGTGCAATTATCCCCTTTTTACAGATAAACTGAAGCTCAGAGAGGGAACTGCTTCCCTCAGGGTCACCCAGCTACGAGTAACTAAGCCTGTGCTTCTAACACCAAAGACCACTTCCCACTGACCCTGTGCCAGGCTTGTATTCTCTCTGGGTCTCCATTCCCTCCTCTAGGAAATTGGAGGGCTTGGGGTGGCTCCAGTGAGCTCTCCCCTTCCTGAAATTCCTACCAACGTGGGGCAGCCAAGGCTTAGCCCCCCAAACTATAAACCTCTGACAGTGCCCACAGCCATGCCCTCCTCCGTCCAGGGGCTGACAGGTGGGAGGGGCAGCCCCGCCCCGGGGAGTGGACTTACCCGGCCTCTCTGCTCAGAAATCGTCAATTATGAATTTGACACCAAGGACCTGGTGTGCCTGGGCCTGAGCAGCATCGTTGGTGTCTGGTACCTGCTGAGGAAGGTGAGTAGCCAGGGCCTGGGCAGAAGGGGAGGATAGGGTTGACAGGGCAGGGTGGGGCACAGCAAGCGAGTCTCATTCCCCATTTTCCTCAGCACTGGATTGCCAACAACCTTTTTGGCCTGGCCTTCTCCCTTAATGGAGTAGAGCTCCTGCACCTCAACAATGTCAGCACTGGCTGCATCCTGCTGGGCGGACTCTTCATCTATGATGTCTTCTGGGTGAGTCAGGCAGGGATGCCAAGGATGTCTGGCTCCAGGGCCATCTCACCCTCCTACTACCCTGCCTCTCTGGCCCAAGTGCCGGTCATCTGATGGAGAGCAGTTGTTTGGGGCTGAAGGTCCAGACCCCAGAGTCCTCTCTGGGCCCATCTGTGAGATGGAGCCAGAGAGAACAGAGTCCACCTCTTTCTGGGAGCACGCTCCATGCACCTGTGTGTCTTCCTTGCCAGCAGCTCCCTTAGCAAGGGAGTTGAGACTCAGAGAAGTTCAGGTAGGGGTGGAAGAATGTTGATGAATGGGCCCAGAAAGGGCATTGACCTGGGAAGACAGAGGCCAGCTGTGCTCAGCTGCATACCAGCCCTGGCCTGTAATGCCTCTCACATTCACTCTGAGAGGCATCATGGAGAGACTGAGGTCAGCCTAACTCAGGCACTGTTTCCCTGACCCCAGGCAGCCTCTTGCCCTCTTGAGTGGGTGGCCCTGGGGGACTTCATCACTTGAGAGGAACAGAACCATGAACCAAACATAGGCTGCCTGGCTTGGGCTATCAGAGGTTCTTTCTATACTCCCTTGAAATTCCCCTCTTTGTTGCCCAGAACCAGTATCAGTGGCTAACTCACCCCAACTTCAGATCTGCACTGGAGCCCCTCCCAGCTCCCTGCCCCACTCCCACTAGGTCTCAGGCAGCAGCACATCTAGAAGCCCAGGGACAGCCATTCTTTCCCCCCAGCCCCTCACTTCCCTTCACACTGCTCTTCTCTCCTAGGTATTTGGCACCAATGTGATGGTGACAGTGGCCAAGTCCTTTGAGGCACCAATAAAATGTAAGTGACCACCTCACCATAGGGAACCCCTTCCCCAACCCCACCAGGCCTTGCCCTCACAGTTCCTGTTTCAGTCAGTGCATCTCCCTATCTCTTCCCCATGTACCTCTTCCTCCTGTGGCTCTTCCAGCCTGGTTTCCCTTTCCTCATTGATTCATCTGGCTGCGTTCATCCTTCTCAGGCCTGGCCTCTGGCCACTTGGTCATGGTACACATGATGTGAAATGAGCCAAAATGGGAGCAGGCATGGAGGGGAAGTGTTTAACCCAGCCCGGGGGTTGGGAGGTGCATGCAGAGGCTTTCCAGGAGAGGAAACCTCTAACCTAAGACCTATAGCACCCCTCACTGGGATCCCCTCAGAGTGTCTGTGCTGTCTATCCCGTGCCTCTCAAACTGCCTTGGTTTTGTTCTTCAGTGTATCCATTGTTTATAAGTCATAGAAAATCCACCGGCAGATTGAGCATCTCTAATATGAAAATCTGAAATCGAAAATGCTCCAGGACCCAACACTTTTTGAGCACTGACATGACCCCACAAGTGGAAATTCCACACATAAGGACTTAACATGAACTGTGTTTCATGCAGAAAATTATTTTTAAGTATTGTAAAACTCTTTAGGAGGCTGAGGCGGGAGGATCGCTTGACGCCAACAGTTCAGGACCAGCCTGGGTAACAGCAAGACCCTGTCCCTACAAAAAAATTAAAATATTAGCTAGGCATGATGACACACACCTGTAGTCCTAGCTACTTGGGAGGCTGAGGCAAGAGGATCCCTTGAGCCTGGGAGTTTCAGGCCAAAGTGAGCTATGATCATGTCCATTTAAACTTAGGTTCTGTCCCCAAAATACTTCATTATGTTTATGCAAATATTTCAGAATTCAAAAAAGGTCTGAAAGATTTCTGGTTGAACCATTTCATATATGCGTTACTCAACCTGTGTAACTCTTTAAACAAGGGGGAAATCTTGCCATCTTACACTACAGCAAGCCCGGGGCCCTCTCTTCACCAAGAGCCAAGGTTATGTCAGTGCTCCCACCCCAGCATTCTCAGCGTGTCCACCGCCCCCCTTAGGTCATCCCTTCATGGCCCAAGACGGCTGCCACAGTTCCTAGCACTGACTCCTCACATAGCCATGTCCAGAAAAATAAAAGGGAAATGATGTCTCAGGGAGGGATGGTATTGCCCAAATCTCCCGTGCAGCCTCCCTCATACTTGGTTAGCCAAAACTGGGTCACAGGCCCAAGTCTAAACCGTTCTTCAGTGACGGGATAGGAAAGCATGACTGGCTTGGAGTTTAAGCTTTAGACTAGCGGAGAATCACCTCCTGGGATTACAAGGCTCAAAGAGGGGAACAGAATCCATCAGACATGCTAGCAAGGAAGCGAGGAAGACGCTGTGGGGGACAGGCAGCAGCAAGTGCATGCCATGGACGTACTGGCCCGTGGCGACAGGCAATCGTGGGGGGAGATTTGGGGAGATTCCACCCAGGGAATCAGGAAACAGCTGTCTTTCTTGTGATTCACTCTGTCACTGCAGACAGGCTTTCTCCCTGCATTGGGGAGAGCTTCATGGCCACAAACAACTCCTAAATTCTGTGGTCCCAGGTTAGTGACCCCAGAGGAAAACCGGTTTCTCCCACCTTTGGCCTGAATAAACCTACAAGTCCTGGCCTGGCCCATAAGCCAGACACTCCCACTGGAGAGATGGAGGATCGTGATGGACAGGCCAGGGACACTGCCCACTCCAGTGCCTGGGGGCAGAGTATTAGAATTGGCAGCCCCCCCAGAACGAAGTGTGCAAGGGGAGGGCAGTTCTCCAGAGCCAGAGAACAGATGCTGGGCCAGCTGGAGCAACAGCTATTCCCCACATGCCTTGATGGATGAGCCCAGGGGTGCGGAAGCCCAGACAACCCAGCCAGCGTGTTAGGAAAATCTTTTCTGAGTCATGAAGGATGAATACACATTTCCCAAGCATGCGGGGGCAATATGGCATTTGAAAGATAGTGTAAAGCTTCAGCAAAGGACTGGAGGCAGGAAGGTGCATGGAGGGTCCTGGGAGCAGAGAATCAGGGAGTGGGTGTAGCTGAGTGCAGTGGAAAGAGGTGGGCAGAGGCCAGATTTGGGAAGCCAAGGATTCCACTGCAGGGAGCTTGGACAGTGCCCCACAGGCCATTGGAAGGCTCCGAGCAGGGAAGTGGTACTGTCCTATTTGGTTTCTGATATGTAGGGTCTGGTTTTCTGGGCTAGAGAGAAGACCCACTGCCTTCTCCTGCTAGGATAGAGCTCAGTGGCAAAAAGGCAGAACAGTGAAGTGTACATATGCTGAAGTCAGGCTGCCTGGACTTGAATCTCAGCTCTGCCATTTGCTGACTACATGGCCTTGGGGAGGAGACTTGTCCTCTCTGAACCCTGGTTTCTAGAACTGTAAAATGGAGACAGTAGTCTCTGCCACATATAATTGAATGGTACCAGGATTGAGAGAGAAATCTATAAATCACTGTGCATTGTGCATTCAAGGCAGGAAGAGGCAGGCAGGGCAAGAGTACCTATCCATGTATTAGAGAAGCACAAGCTTTACCCAGAACCCCTGTGCACCTCTGTGTACATATTGTTAGCCAGATGGAGGTTGCAGTGAGCCGAGATCACACCACTGCATTGCGGCCTGGGTGACAGAGTGAGACGCCATCTAAAAAAATATATATCTATATATCATGATAAAATTTTTTTTACTGGCTGGCGTGGTAGCTCATGCCTGTAATCCCAGCAGGCGTGGATTTGTACACACAGTTAAATAGTAGCAGTTGGGAGGCCGAAGCGGGCAGATCACGAGATCAGGAGATTGAGACCATTCTGGGCAACACAGTGAAACCCCATCTCTACTAAAAATAAAAAAAAATAGCCAGGCATGGTGGCAGGCATCTGTAATCCCAGCTACTGGGGAGGCTGAGGCAGAAGAATCACTTGAACTCGAGAGGTGGAGGTTGCAGTGAGCCGAGATCACGCTACTGCACTCCAGCCTGGGTGACAGAGCAAGACTCCATCTCAAAAAAAATTTTTAAATATTGTTGGCCAGGGCTGACCCCCTACCTACCTGCAAGAGAAGTAAGGAATTCAAGGAACAGGATTTTCCCGATTGGCTTAGTCTTGCACCACACTTGACCTGTCACCTGGAAAGGCTGCCTCACACAAAACGAGGACTGGGTTAGTAAAGAAGGCCTGGAGTGGCAGTTTACAGTGTGTACAAATCATCTGATTTCACTACCACCCTGAGGGGTCGGTCCCGTTGTCCCCACATTTCACAGGTGAGAAAACTTCAGCAGGTAAGTAAGCTGTGCAGAGCACAGAGCTAGGCCTCCACCCACAAGTCCGATGCCACAGCCCACTTGTGACTGCCCTTCTGAGGAAGTCCAGTCGTTTTGCTATAACTAGACACAGGGAGGCGTTTCTCTCTAATCTGCTGTATTTATCCAAACAAGCTGTCCAGCAAGATTTCTTAGTGAGGGTTTTTTTTTTTCCTTTTTGAGATGGAATCTCACTCTGTCCCCCAGGCTGGAGTGCAGTGGTGTGATATCGGCTCACTGCAATCTCCACCTCCCCATGTTCAAGCAATTCTCCTGCCTCAGCCTCAGTTGGGATTACAGGTGCGCACCACCATGCCCAGCTAATTTTTGTATTTTTTAGTAGAAATGGGGTTTCACCACGTTGGTCAGGCTGGTCTCAAACTCCTGACCTCGTGATCCACCCACCTCAGCCTCCCAAAGTGCTGGGATTATAGGCATGAGCCACCACGCCCAGCAGAGTCAGGAATTTTAAGGAAGGAATCTGCAGGTATGTGGCCTTTTCTCCCTCAGCAAATACAGAAGGTGCTTATAGCCCAGGCTCACCCTGCCTCAGAACAACGGCCACCATCTGTCCATACCTCTGTTAGAGTGAGATGGGAAACCTTTTAGATATCGGCACTGTGTGGCTCTTTTCTTTTATACACTGGGCTTTAGGGTAAATCCCATTTAACCAAGGGCTTCTGTAGCTATAAAAAGGCATTGAAATTATACGGTTATTTGGGTTATAGCTCAGTAAAGGCATTAAACTTTCACCCTAGATGACCCCAGATTCCTTCCTACTCTAACCAGCTGTGACTCCAGATGGAGGCATTGCCCTGCATCCTCTTACCTCCTCATCCCCCACCTCCCACCCAGGAAAACCACAAATGTGAGTTTCATACAACAAGATTGGGGAGTTAGAAGTCAAAGTAAGCTGGGAATACAAAAATGGGGTGGGTGCCTGTAGTCTCAGCTACTCAGGAGGCAGGAGAATCGCTTGAGCCTGGGAGGCAGAGGTTGCAGTGAGCCAAGATGAGGCCATTGCACTCCCGATTACAGTCCTCATTGCACTGGGCAATAGAGCAAGACCCTGTCTCAAAAATAAATAAAGTAAGCTGGGCTCCAGCTGGTTCCTCACATCCCTGCCTCCCCTACAGTGGTGTTTCCTCAGGATCTGCTGGAGAAAGGCCTCGAAGCGGACAACTTTGCCATGCTGGGCCTTGGAGATATTGTGATTCCAGGTGAGCCTGTTGGGGTGGGGGCCATGTGCAAGGGGTGGGGAGGGTATTCCCTGGAGCAGGGGGTTACCGCTAAACAGACAGGCTTACCAGCTGAGAAATGAGGCTGGATCAGGCCAGATTTTGGTGAAGGGTTCCACCTTAACGTGCATTTATGGAGTGCCAGTCAAGTGCCTTGCCCCAGGCTAGGCCCTGGTCAGGCATCAGTGAACAAGACTGTCCTTGCAGAGCCTCTGGTCTAGGTGAGCAGATGTTACTCAGGAACTACAAAAATAAAAGTCTAATAACAGAGGTACACTCCGAAAAAGCACGTTTCATGACAGTCTTAATGGCCTGGACCCCTCTCACACATACCGACCCATACACATACACATACGCATTCCCCAGCATCTGCAGGCATCACAGCTGTGCCAGAATTGCCATAGCCACGTGGCTCCTCCTCCCAGTGCTAAGACGTCTCCAGGGAGAACACACACATGGGCTCCTGTGTCTGCACTGTGGGCAGAGGAGCATGTGCATGCACACCTGCTTGTCTGCAGAAGCTGGCCTTTGAGCCCCTGGATCTACAGGTGGGTTCTAGCCAGTGTGTCTGTGGATATAGACACAAGGGGCCCCATCCACAGTCCAAGCAGGAAAGCATGTCCTGTGTACCCACCGCCTGGCCTCATCTTGGGGCAGGAGCAGCTCAAACTACCAGTCAAGAAAGAGACTAAGGGTAAAGCTGAGCAGCCACTCTGAAGGCAGCTAAAGTGGCTGAGGCTCAGGTGATCTATGTCTGCTCATCTGGGCCCAGTAGTGGGGGCAGTGAACCTTAGGAACATATTTGTCTTCCTAGTCTCAGAGTCAGAGGGTTAGAAGCTTGCTTAAAAGAAGAAGGTTTTTGCAGATGGAGCCAGTGTAGAAAAAAAGAAGGTTTTGGCTGGGCACAGTGGCTCACACCTGTAATCCCAACACTTTGGGAGGCTGACTCAGGGGTATTGCTTGAGGCCAGTTCAGCACCAGTCTGGACAACATAACAAGAACTCATCTCTACAAAAAAAAGCCAGTTGTGATGGCTAATGCCTGTAGTCCCAGCTACTCTGGAGGCTGAGGTAGGAGGATTGCTTGAGCCCAGCAGTTCAAGGCTGCAGTGAGCTATGATTGTGTCACTGCACTTCCGCCTGGGTAACAGAGTGAGACCCTGTCTCTTTTCTTTTCTTCTTTTTTTTTTTTTTTTTGAGATGGAGTCTTGCTCCATCACCCAGGCTAGAGTACAGTGGCATGATCTCAGCCCACTGCAACCTCCACCTCCTGGGTTCAAGCCGTTCTGCCTCAGCCTCCCCGGTAGCTAGGATTACAGGTGCACACACCATGCCCAGCTAATTTTTGTATTTTTAGTAGAGACAGGGTTTCACCATGTTGGCCAGGCTGGTCTCGAACTCCTGACCTCGTGATCCACCCACCTCAGCCTCCCAAAGTGCTGGGATTACAGGCATGAGCTGCTGTGCCCAACTGCAACCCTGTCTCTTAAAGTTAAGTTTGGTCTGGGCAACATAGACCCCATCTCACTGCAGCAGTGATTTTGCCTACTCCTGCATTGCCCATGGTGCCTGGTATGTAGGCACTTGATAAGCATTTGGGCAGACACACAGTGTGACGTATGGTACTATGAGGTGCCAGCCCCATACTGTGTCTATCTCTCTAGATACAGATCTAGATAGAGATTTTTTTTTTTAAGTCAGAGTCTCTGTCACCCAGGCTGGAGTGCAGTGATGCCATCTTGGCTCACCACAACCTCTGCCTCCAAGGTTCAAACAATTATCCTGCCTCAGCCTCCCAAGTAGCTGGGACTACAGGCATGCACCCCCATGCCTGGCTAATTTTGTATTTTTAGTAGAGACAGGGTGTTACCATGTTGGCCAGGCTGGTCTCAAACTCCTGACCTCAGGTGATCCACCTGCCTCAGCCTACCAAAGTGCTGGGATTATATGCATGAACCACCATGCCCAGCCAGGGTGGTAGGTACTTTTTCTGTGTTATCTTTATTTCTCCCAGCAATCCAGTGAGATAATGGACATTTCCATTTTACAGATGAGGTTCAAAGAGATGGTGTGACTTGCCTAAGGCAGTGGGGATGTGTCTTCATCCCTATAACCCGTGTGTCTTCATAATTTGCAGTGCTGTGAGGCAGGGAGACTTGCTTCTTCAGTGGAAGGTAGCTCCATTAGACAGAAGAATGGAGTCCTATAAAGCATCTGGCTCACTCTCCAGGGCATGGTCTGTCAGGCATTCACACAAACTTCCCCCATGTCCTTGTCATAAGTTCTGGGCTTGAGACATGCACAGGACATCTCAGCATATCTGTCCCTCCCCTACGCTCTCTATATATCCCCAGTCATTCCACAATCACAATAAATGTAAGTTAATCACGTCCTCACAGTCTCAGTGGAGTGTTGTTTGGAAGCCCAGATGGGCTTTAGGAGTGAAAGGCCCTGGCAGAGCTTTAGCCCCTGGATTAGTTGGAGAACACTTGTAGAAAACAGCCTCGAGGGGGCGCTGAGTTCCCAGCTTGTTTCCAGAATGACTGCAGTGTCTGCTTTCTCCCCCACCAACTCTCTACTCCCACAGAGTATTCATCGAGAACTCATTCATTTCCTTTTTAAAATTAATTATATGTTGACAGTCAGTGCTGCTTATCAGTGCCTGCCTTCAACTAAATGAGATGCAGAGCCCCAAGACCAACGAGGGAGGCAGACACACAAGATGTGTGTACAGCACACAGAGGCAGGACTGCTTTGCTGTGTTTGGGGATGCTGAGGCTTCTGGGATGTCTCTTTTTCTTTTTTCCTTTTTAGCAGAACCATTGCTTACAATTGGCTTGGTTTTGAAGTTTCGGAGTACGGTGGGTGAACCGAGGTAACCGTCTCCTGTGCTCCTGTGGAGCCTCCAAATAGCCCGCGGCGAGCCCCTCCTCCTTCCCCCTCCAGCCACACACTGCCACTGGGGCCTTTTTCAAAAATCTGCTCGGGTTGTTCACTTGCTCAGAACTCTTCCATTGCATCTCTTCACTCACGATAAAGACCCGCCTCCTCCTCATGGGCCTTAGGGCTTTGCAGGGCTGGTCCATCTCCTCATCTCCTGCAGTGAGCAGGCTGCCTTACTGGCCCCTACCTCCTGAGCCTTCTCCAAGACCTTTGTACATGCTGTTCTCTCCTCCTGGCATGTGTCATTTCCAAGAAGCCTGCCTTCTTTCCCCTCCTTCATCCCTGTCCAGCCTAGGTCTCATCCTGTTACACCTTCTCACAACATAGGAAGCATAATTCTCCTGCCTCAGCCTCCTGAGTAGCTAGAATTACAGCCAAGTGCCACCACATTGGCTAATTGTTTTTTTTTTTTTTTGAGACGGAGTTTCACTCTTACTACCCAGGCTGGAGTGCAATGGCGCGATCTCGGCTAACCGCAACCTCTGCCTCCTGGGTTCAGGCAATTCTCCTGCCTCAGCCTCCTGAGTAGCTGGGATTACAGGCACGAGCCACCACGCCCACCTGATTTTTGTGTTTTTAGTAGACACGGGGTTTCACCATGTTGACCAGGATGGTCTCCATCTCTTGACCTCGTGATCTACCCGCCTTGGCCTCCCTTAGTAGACACAGGGTTTCACCATGTTGTCCAGGCTAGTCTCGAACTCCTGACCTCAGGTAATCCACCCTCCCAAAGTGGAAGCATTCTTTCAGAGTTACATCCTCACAGTGATTTCCGTAACTATTTGAGGTATGTCACAGTGTGACTGCCCTGTACCCATGACTGAGCTCTGTGAGAGCAGTGATTTTGTCTACTCCTGCTTGCCCATGGTGCCTGGTACTTAGGCACTTGATAAGCATTTGGGCAGACAGTATGACATAGTGTGGTGCTATGAGGTGCCAGGTCATTGTAGTTCCAGGCCAAAGCAAAATCCGGGGGCCTTCTCACTGTTCGAGGCAGAGAAATGGGACTTTCTGTTGGCACTTGAGACTATTGGCCACACCCTTGGTCTCCAGTGATTGCTTCATGACAGAACACCAGGTTGGGGACCAGGACCCAGTCTCTTATTCACTGCCCTGCTGCTTCCCTGCCCCTCTAACCCCGGCTTTCTCCCACAGGGATCTTCATTGCCTTGCTGCTGCGTTTTGACATCAGGTAAGTGAGTGAGGACCTACCCCAACGTGGGGTTCTCCAGGGGTTCTCCAGTGGCTTTCAGGAGCCCTGAGAAGGTACGTCAGGGGACCAGGCCCTCCACCCCAACAGCAATCAGAGCAATTCTGATTTTAATCTGCAGTTTGCATTTTGAAGTTCTATGTGTTTGAAGAGTTTGTGGTCAAAAAAATGTTTTAAGAATCACAGGCCAAGAGATTGAAAGCCACAAGGGCCTGGTGGTACTCACAGTGCTTTCTCACTGTGAGACCTTAACACGTGGCCTGACCTTTCTGAGCCTCCAGTTTCTCATCTTGAGTTAATAACAAGAGTTCCTACCATGAAAATCAGGAGAGGGTGCTGAGCACACACTGACCTCGGTAGCTCTTGGGCGAATCCAGTTGCAGTCATCATCATCAGCATCTTTTATCAGCCTAGGGTCAGGTCACCATGTCTCAGCTGCTCTAGCTGTTCCTGCCCTCTCTTTACTCAGATATTTTTCAGTCTGTTGTAGACAGTGAGCACGAGGGAGAGAAGGGGGCCAATTTAGGGTCAGCATTTAAAACATGGAGCAGGTCTTATTCAAGTTAATGCACCTGTGCAATGGGGCTTGCTGTCAGCAGGGGGCGCCAGCAACTGCTCTATCATTTTATGCTCCGTCATCCCAGTGAGAGCTGGCGGTGGGCGCACTTAACTTTGAAGTGGTTTGTGAGCTTCTCTTTATCTCTTCATGCCTGATAGTTGCAAAAGCAGTAATAACTGAGAGTGGTAATGAGAAACTACCAGCACCATTGAAATCCAGTTTCCATGTGAAACAGGTTTTTCCCACTCACATGCACCTGGGTTACTTGTATAGTGCCACTTCGAACCTTATGAGTATGTGGGCTCACGGTCGCCTTTGGAAGAGACCTGGCTGGTTTATAAGTAGAGGGATGTCTGTGCCAGCCGTCTCTACTCCTGGCTGTTCAGAGGTAATACAAAGTGAAACCCACAAGAACCCCACAGGCTATTTGCTAAAGAGGCAGCTTCAGCTGCCAGCACTCTCAGAAGCAGAGTCTCATTTCTAGCCTGGGCTCACAGCATAAGCAGCTCCTCAGCTGATTTCAGAATCAGTGCAACATTCCCAAGGGGTGTCACTTTTACCCCAGTTCTCAGAGTAGGTAAGTTCTCAATGTACTTGTAGCTGAAGGCTTAGAAAGCACCCAGGGCAAGGAGAGAAAGGGGTCAGAAGTACTCATTCATTCCACAAATGTTAATTGAGTCCATAGTACTGGCTGGGCACATCCCAGGCACTGGGGACATGCACAGGTTATGGAGCTGGCATTGGAGAGAGGTCACGTGATGGCAATGCTGAGCTACATAGGATTCGTCTGTTCTGAAGCTGATCTTGGATGAATCACCTCCAGGAAGCCACTGGCATTTTATTCATGCAGCCAGCATCTAGTTAGTGCCCACAAATAGGCTACTGATCACATCCACTGCACTTAAAAGTAGTAACTTACCTTTGTAGTTTCTGTATCTGTGTTTCTCAAGACATGATCCAAGGGTATGAGATTCATCTCAGATGTTTTTTCAAAATGCAAATTGTTGGGCCTTGCCCTAGACCTATTAGATCAGACTCCCTGGGGTGGGGCCTAGAATCCTGCGTTTTTTCACGGCTTTCCAGATGATTTTTATGCTGACTAAAGTCTTAAAGCCACTGTTCTAGGTTATAGCACTTGATATTCATAACCACCAGGGGGATGAGCTCCTCACCTTCTCATTTTGCAGATGAGTAAACTGAGTCTAAGAGAAGGAAAGCAGCTTGTCCAGAGACACATAGCTGGGGGCAGTACCAGTGTGCACACCTACCTCCAGACTCCCAGCCCAGAGCTCAGTCACCCCCTACAGCCTCTGGGGTCTTCCCCAGCTCCCTCAGAAGGGTTGTCACTGCTCCAGTCCCTGTATCTAACCCTGCTCCTCTTTCTTCACACCTTCCCTGAAGCTTGAAGAAGAATACCCACACCTACTTCTACACCAGCTTTGCGGCCTACATCTTTGGCCTGGGCCTTACCATCTTCATCATGCACATCTTCAAGCATGCCCAGGTGAGCAGGATGGTATCAGAGTGTCAGGAACGCCTCACTGCAAATAGAGGGACTTACAGAGGATTTATTTGTAAATGCAAGCAGTCCAGAGATAGGCACTCCCCACTGATGTTAGAGCAGTCATGTCTGATTCTCTTGGCTTTTCATTTGTAGTTGTAAGATGGCTGCCACTGCTCCAAGCAGCATGGGCACATTAGAGGCAAGGAGGAGGGAAAAGCGTAACAGCCATGCCTGCTGCGTTCATCAGGAAGAAAGGAACTTTCTTTCCCAGAACCCTCTCAGTATCTCATCAGCCAGATTGGGGTCCTAAAGCCACCCTAGCTACAGGAGAGTCCAGGAAAGAGGATTTGGCTTCTCCGCCTTAGTAGTGGGAAGCAGACAGAGAAGAACAGGATTGGAGTGGGTGTTGGGTATTGGGGCCTCCTTTCCCCTACCCCCAAATAGCCCAGGCTCTGCCTCCTTCTCCCACCAAGATGAGAACAGAGTACTGAGCCAGCACCAGATGAAACAACATAGCACGAGGAGTGGGAGCCCTCAGTGTGGCCGGGAGACGGGAAAGTGAGCAGACAGGATTGCCCTGCGCTCTAGTGGAAATAGTAAGAGCTCCTGTTGGTTAAGCACTTCCATGTGCCAGGCTCTGCACTCATGAGGGTCCTTGTGAACAGGTGGGGAAACTGGCGTTTAAGTGCCGCCCAGCAAGTATGTGTTGAAGCCAGGATTCAAAGCTGGGTCAGCATGGAAACCACACCCTGGCTCTCAAGCCTGGCCATGAGAAAGGGGCATGGAACTGGGGCTAAGGGAGCCCTGCTGTGAATCCCAGCTCCAGCTGGTAACCGTGGGGCTATGGGCTCGCTGCTTCTGTCCCCTGTCCCCTTTCCCCTTCCCCAGGGCCCAAACACAGACAAGCTATCTTTGAATTAATCACAAAGGCTAGGGTCTTTTTTGGTTTTTTGTTTGTTTGTGTGTTTGTTTTTTAAGCTGGTTTCTGATCACTCTGTGCCAGGCACTGTGCTAAACTCTTTTGCTAGTAACTCATTTAGTCCTTATAGTACTCCAGGGAGGGAGGTCCTAGTACAGTATTACTTTATAGAAGGTCAAAAGGCCCCTCGTCCATAAGTGGAAAAAGCAAGAACCAATGTGGAACTGTGTCTCACATCTGCTCAAGGGCTTCAGGGGAGTGTAAGCTGAGAGTAACATGCATATGGCAGGGAGTCCCAGAGAGTGACAGGACCTGGATTGGAGGACTAGTTAAGAGGCCATGGCCGGGCACGGTGGCTCATGCCTGTAATCCTGGCACTCTGGGGCCGAGGTGAGCAGATCACCTGAGGTCGGGAGTTCAAGACCAGCCTGACCAACATGGTAAAACCTGTCTTTGAATGAATGAACAAATGGAGAGGTCTCTTGGAGTCGGCAGCTCTCAGCCACTTACTGGAGTACAAGCCCAGAGCCAATTCCCCCAGTGGCCACAAGGTGACAGGCTCACCTTCTGCCTAGCTGGACTCAAAACAGGCTCCCATTCAGAGCCCTGGCACACAGGACACCTCTCCTCTATGGGGAAATTGCAGCATTGAGAGAACTCGGACTCCCCAGGCCACACACTGCATCACACTGGGTCCTGGCCAGCCTCCGGACTCTGCGCTAATGAACTGAACCGTGGCTCAAGGCCTGTGCTACTCTCCAGCAGCAGCCCAGCCCTTCTCCCCAGTCATCCAAGTGGGCACCTCTCTGAAAATCCTTCTTGGAAAGGGGATCCAGGACGTGAGAGGACGCTGTTCCACAGGGTCCCCTGCCCTCTCCAACACACAGGTAGTCCCAGTGCTAGCATTGCTCTAGGTAAGGATCACCTCTCACTTTGTGCAGTGGTATGATCTCAGCTCACTGCAGCCTCGGCCTCCTGGGCTCAAGTGATTCTCCTGTATCACCCTCCTGAGTAGCTGGGACTATACACATGCACCACCACACCCAGCTAATTTTTATATTTTTAGTAGAGATGAGGTTTCACCATGTTGGCCAGGCTGGTCTCAAACTCCTGACCTCAGGTGATCCGCCCACCTCAGCCTCCCTAAGTGCTGGGATTATGGGAGTGAGCCACCATGCCTGGCCTACTTAGGGATTATTAGATTCAATGATTTAATATATGTAAAGCAGTATTGATCACAGCCCACCTGTGAAATAGTCTACGTTAGGATCAAGGGCATGCGGGAAAGATTTGTTATCTGGTCAAGGGCTGGCTTTACATTAAGAATGAAGTCTCTTCCAAGTAAAGAACCAAGAAAAAAAAAAAGAATGAAGTCTGAGGCCGGGCCTGGTGGCTTAGACCTGTAATCTCAGCACTTTGGAAGGCCAAGGCCGGCGGATCACAAGGTCAGGAGCTCAAGTCCAATCTGGCCAATATGGGGAAACCCCATCGCTACTAAAAATACAAAAAATTGGCCAGGTGTGGTGGCGCGTGCCTGTAATCCCAGCTACTCGGGAGGCTGAGGCAGGAGACTTGCTTGAACCTGGGAGGCAGAGATTGCAGTGGGCTGAAATCATGCCACTGCACTGCAGCCTGGGTGACAAAGCGAGACTCCGTCTCAAAAAAAAAAATTAGGTCTCAGCTGGACGACAGGTGGCTCTCGCCTGTAATCCCAGCACTTTAGGAGGCTGAGGCGGGTTGATCATGAGGTCAGGAGTTAGAGACCAGCCTGACCAACAGAGTCAAACCCCATCTCTACTAAAAATACAAAAAAAAATTACCCTGGCATGATGGTGTGCACCTGTAATCCCAGCTGCTCAGGAGGCTGAGGCGGGAAAATCCCTTGAACCCAGGAGGCAGAGGTTGCAGTGAGCCAAGATCACACCATTGGCACAAAAAAAAAAAAAAAAAAAAGACTTGGCCAGGTGCAGTGGCTCATGCCTGTAACTCCAGCACTTTGGGAGACCATAGCGGGCAGATCACATGAAATCAGGAGTTCAAGACTAGCCTGGCCTACATGGTAAAACCCTGTCTCTACTAAAAATAAAAAGAATTAGCTGGGTATGGTAGTGGACGCCTGTAATCCCAGCTACTTGGGAGACTGAGGCAGGAGAATCACTTGAACCCAGGAGGTAAAGGTTGGGGTGACCCAAAATTGCACCACTGCACTCCAACCTGGGCAACAAGAGTGAAACTTGTCTTAAAAAAAAAAAAAAAAAGAATGAAGTCTCCTCACCCTCTCCAGGACACTCTTCGCTTCATAAGCACCCAGGAAGGAGCCATTCACTAAGTATTTACCAGGCCTCTTCAGCATGCAAGACACATTGTGGTAAGCAAGACAGCTATGGACCTGCCCTCAACGAGCTCACCACCTACGGGGATGTTCCATTACAAACTGCTGAGGAGGCTGGGCACGATGGCTCAGCTGTAATCCCAGCACTTTGGGAGGCAAAAGCAAGTGGATCTCTTGAGCTGTGGAGTTCGAGACCAGGCTGGGGGAAATGGTGAAATCCAGTCTCTACCAAAAAAATACAAAAATTAGCCAGACATGGAGCGCATACCTGTAGAACCAGCAACTTGTGGGCTACACTGAGCCGTGTTCATGTCACTGCTCTTCAGTCTGGGAGACAAAGTAAGAACCTGTCTCAAAAAAAAAAAAAAAATTGCTGGGGAATGCTGTGAGGAAAATTAGAGGGACCTGCAGAGCATGTAGCAAGGGACCTGACTCCATGTCAAAGAGCACAAGTGCGCCAGCCTGACCAACATGGTGAAACCCCATCTTTAAAAAAAAAAAAGATTTAGATCTCTGAGGCCTGGACTATTCCCTCTCCTTGTGAAGCATCTGTCTTCTGCCTCTACAAAGAGTAACCGTCATGGAATGTGGCACTGGGCTTACTCCTGGGAAGGCTAAGGTCAGTCCCTGCACAGTAGATGTCCATGATCAGGGGTCTTAGTATAATTGTCCTTTTCTCCAAACCCAGCTTTACCAGGAGTCTCAACACAGACATGCCAAACTGCTTGGATGTGAATCCTGGTGGAGCTGGTGACCAGCTAGGTCACCTTAATACAGGCTGCAACAAGTACTTGTTACATAGCTGTGTCATCATGATAGCATCTCCTGGAGCATTTGCTAAAATGCAGGTGTCAGCCCCCGACCTCAGGAAGCAGTCTCTGGGCATAGGACCAAACCAGGAAGTTGCATTTTGCACCTGGTAACCCAGGTGATTCAGATGCTGCCAACCAAACCCTGGGAACCCTTGAAGCCCTGCCTGCTTAAGTTTCTTACTTTTCTTGCATTCCCTCTTGGGAGGAACAGCCCTTGTCTTGGAGTTTGGAGCCCTGGATTCAGCCCCAGCCACTGACTTGCTATGGACCTGGGCCAGTCACTGTCCTTCAGTCCAGCCTAGGAGGGGGTTGGGGTGCTGGGCATGGCCCTGAGGCAGTGCCCTGCCCAACATGCCCTCACCAACCTGTGTCCTCTCATAGCCCGCCCTCCTGTACCTGGTCCCCGCCTGCATCGGTTTTCCTGTCCTGGTGGCACTGGCCAAGGGAGAAGTGACAGAGATGTTCAGGTAAGGCAGAGCTGGGGGGGCAGATGTCCTCATGGGCACTGATGCACCTGCTCACAGCCAGTAGAACCTGCTGGGGGTGTCTGTATACCTCTCCAGGAGAACACTGTTCCCACCACCAGCCCCACTCCTCGCTCTTTCTACCAGTACACGGGTACCTGGCCTGTGGGCACCAGTGGGAACCTTCCCCTGGGCCAGGAGCCAAGGGAGAGCAAGGCATCAGGGCCCTGTAGGTATCCCCCCATACAAATGCTAGGTGGAGCTTAAGAATAGCTGGTATGGGCCGGGTGCAAGTGGCTCACGCCTATAATCCCAGCACTTCGGGAGGCTGAGGCAGGGGGATCACGAGGTCAGGCGATCGAGAGTAGCAGCTAACATGGTGAAACCCTGTCTCTACTAAAAATACAAAAAAAATTAGCCCGGTGTGGTGGCACATGCCTGTAGTCCCAGCTACTCGGGAGACTGAGGTAGGAGAATTGCTTGAACCCAGGAGGCGGAGCTTGCAGTGAGCCGAGATCACGCCACTGCACTCTAGCCTGGACAACCAAGTGAGACTCCCTCACAAAAAAAAAAAAGTATGGATTTTTCTCTGCCTACTGTCAGAAGTCCTAGGTGAAGGTGACTGCAAGCATGTCTGTCCCTCCCATGGCCTCAGTTTTCACATGTGAGTAATAGAGCGGGGGGTGTGTCGGATACCCTAGTGTGGTAGAAAGTGCCCCGAGTAGAAGGCATGTGTCAGCCCCTGTTCATTCACCTCTGTGGCTGTAACCACAGCTCACTGCTTTCTCTTCATCTGTTTGTATCTTACTCAACAGATACCCCTTCCCCAGGGCCATAGCCACACCTGTCACACCCTGCACACAACCCCACCCATACCCCAAGGCCTGCATGATTCCAACAAGTGTCTGTCCCCCGCACCACCAACCCTGCCTGCCAGGGACCTAGAAATAGCTGCCAGTTGCAATTAAAGCTGCCTACTTCAGGGCCTTCCGCAGAGTTCCACCTGCCTAGCCTCTAAGCTCTCCCTAGAGCCCCCGCCAGGGCCTCCTGTGCACCTGGCTGCCCTCAGGGGAACCTGTGACTCACCCCTCCCCCAACCTGCCTCTGCCCTCCCTGTCCTGCCTAGAATCCCCAGCTCCCAGCCTGCCTGCCGGTATTTCCTCTCCCAGCAATGCTCTGTGGTCTGAGGCAAGTAGGGGCTGGGGGTGAACTTGGGGACAGGTCTCAGGGAGCTTTGGGAGCAGGCATGGCACCCGATCCCTGAGCTTAGCATGCACCCCTCACCCTCTGCCTCCCATCCAGCCCAGGTTTCCCTGCCCCTTGGGGTAATCCCCCAATGCTGTTGTGCCCTCATCAGGTAAAGTTCTGAATACCTCAACCAAGGCAGAGAGTGCCCCTGACTTTACCTGCTTGGTGCTAAATGTTCTGCCCTAACAGTGCCCTGCCCCAGCTTTTTGCCCTCCACCCCTACTCTGAAGGTTCTTAGATTGGGGTAAAAAGCAAGTGATCTCTCTCTCTCCTTTCTGCCCATTTCTGTCCCTTGATTCCCACCCTATCTTTTGTTTTACTTTTCCCTTTGATTGCCCCCTTTTTTCCTGATTTACTTATTTTTATATTAGTACCACATTTACATAGAATTCCAGAGCTGTAACAGAGCACCCTCATGCTCCAGCCACCGCACAGAGGCCAGCTGTGTTACACAGACATTCAGAGACACCTGTGCGCTGAAACCAGACATGTGTATACGTACTCTTGTACAGACAGTAGCATTCTTGAAGCATTCTGCACCTTGGTTTTGCACAATATTTCTTAGAGTATTTCCACAGCAGCACATACACATCTAACTTCGAGCGCACTTGTTCTTTCAACACAGCGGCCTGATGTGCCTTTGTCTAGGTGCATCTTTTTTCACTCTCCAAATAATACCAGCTTCTTTCCTTAAAATCTGGAAGTATAGGTAAAAACAAGACGGTTCTGCTGTCTGCTCCGTGGAAGGAAGTCTCTCTCCTCCCTTAGTCTTCCCTATCCATCTCTTTTTTTCTGTCTCTTCTCTGTCTCTCACACAGCTACGAGTCCTCGGCGGAAATCCTGCCTCATACCCCGAGGCTCACCCACTTCCCCACAGTCTCGGGCTCCCCAGCCAGCCTGGCCGACTCCATGCAGCAGAAGCTAGCTGGCCCTCGCCGCCGGCGCCCGCAGAATCCCAGCGCCATGTAATGCCCAGCGGGTGCTCACCCGCCCGCTTCCCCCTACTGCCCCAGGGCCCAAGGTAGGGCAGACACTGCAGCTCCAGTGTACAGGGCAGGGACCATTGCCAGGGGTAGGCCGCAAGAGGCAGCTCCTCCACAGCCACCAGGCAGTGGCTGCACCCAGCCATAGACAACCCCGATGCTTCATGTCCTCACCAGTAACACGGGGCCCATATCAGAGTGGATAGAAATGGCCCATGTCATATAGTCGCAGATAATGTTACTATTCAAGGTATATATGTGACCTTAGGCAAGTCTCTCTTTCTTCATCTGTAAGTGGGCACATTCCTGCCTCCCGGGGTTGATCTGGTGAGGAAATGTGTGTATTGTCCTTGGCATGAACTCAGTTGCTTCATAAGTGAAGCCCATAGAAGGCGCTAAGCCGGGTGTCTGTCTTCAAAGCAGCATCTTGCCACTTACCAATACAGCAGTACCCTCACCTCTGGGGCTGAGCTATTTGATTGCTGCCTTGTGCCCTGGGAGGCAGACGATCTCCATCTCTTGTGGCCTGGTCATGGCCACGCCTTTTTCCACGCTACAGCAGAAGGTTCAGGAAGCTTGAAGTCGGCCCACACAAGCCCAGGCCCAGCCTCTCTTCCATTGGCTGCTGCCCTTGCTGCGTCCTGGCACCCCCGGGCACAGAGAAAGCAGAGCAGCCTGTCTGAGGAGGGCATGCAGTGGGGCTGGGGCCAGGTGCTGTTAGGTGCTGGGCAGTGGACACAGGGCTGGCACTCCACATGATACCAGGCACTTTCCTAGGATGGGAGTGGGGGAAGGGAACCACCAAGGTTCTGCTGACGCTCTCCTCTAAACGAATTTTTATTGTTTTGTTTTTTGGTCAGTTATGAGGAGTCAAATCCAAAGGATCCAGCAGCAGTGACAGAATCCAAAGAGGGAACAGAGGCATCAGCGTCGAAGGGGCTGGAGAAGAAAGAGAAATGATGCGACTGGTGCCCGAGCCTCTCAGGGCCAGACCAGACAGATGGGGGCCAGGCCCATACAGGCGTGCACGGGCAGAGGGCACAGGAAGCCGAGGGCAGCTCCAAAACAGGCCAGGGGACAGCAGAATACCTCCAGCCAGGCCTCTGTGGCCTCTGTTTCCCTCTCCCTCTCCTGGCCCTCCTCTGCTTCTCCCCACACCCTGCAGGCAAAAGAAACCCCCCAGCTTCCCCCATCCCTGGGAGCCCGGTGGGAAAAGTGGGTGTGATTTTTAGATTTTGTATTGTGGACTGATTTTGCGTCACATTAAAAACTCATCCCATGGCGGGGGCAGGCCACTGTGCTCCTGGAAGGGTTCTCTGCGTAAGCACCCAGTGTCTTGCACTGGATTTTCTAGGTCTCACCTGCCCACCCAGAATCTTTTCTGCAAGCCCCTTGAGGGTGCCCACCTGAGCACCTGGCCAGCCCAGCCCCAAAAAACACCTAGCCAGTAGAGGGGGCCCATGAGCCCTCCCCTCGTCAAGGATCAGATTTTTCTCACCACCTTCCTGGAAACACTTGGGGGCAGCAAGGGTTTTGGACAGATGAGAGTCCCCCACTCACCGCGGTGAGACCTGTGGGGAATACTAAGGCTAACCGGACTCAAGGGAACCAGTAACTGTAGAGCCTGCCAGCTTCCCTGGTCCCTGTTCCCATATGGCTTCAGCTGGCAAGACTTGGACTCAAGGTTGCCGTGGAGATCACGGCTTTGTCTCCCATTGTGCCCATTCCTGGGTTTCTTCTCAAAATAACTACTGTGGGACCAGTCATGGCGCAAGGATTAGGCCCTCTGCAGAGACTGCGATGAGGAAGGATTGAGCCTAGTGATTCTTAGAGGCCTTCTGGGGCCTAGGAGCTGAAATCTCAGGGCTGATTTCCCTGAAGTTTGCTTGCTGAAGCAAGCCCTGGCCAGCAGATGACTGACCCCACCCCAAACCGGGCAAACAGTGGCCATAACCCTCATCCACTTACCTGGCTTGAGGCCACTGAGTGGGGAAACAGGAGCCGGTACCCACCTGCTCGCTTGGACTGACAGACCCAGGGCTCTCAGGTTCAAAGGCTGAAAATAACTGGTGGCCAAGCGCAGCGGTTCACACCTGTAATGCTAACACTTTGGGAGGCCAAGGAGGGCAGATCACAAGGTCAGGAGTTCAATACCAACCTGGCCGTGAACCCCCATCTCTACTAAAAATAGAAAAATTAGCCGGGCATGGTGGCAGTTGCCTTTAATCCCAGCAACTCAGGAAGCAAGGCAGGAGAATCACTTGAACCTGGGAGATAGAGATTGCGGTGAGCCAAGATTACACCACTGCACTCCAGCCTAGGTGACAAAGCAAGACTCCATCTCAAAAAAAGCAAGTAACAGTGGCTTCCTTTGGAAGTGGCAAAAAGACAATCATGACCAGAGACTCAGGAGTGTGACTGTAATACCCTCATGAGGTATTAGCATGTACCAGGCATCTTTAGAGAGGATTTCACTTCTGAGTCTTGGGCTGTAGGTGCTATTATTAGCTCCATTATGCAGATGAGGGAATTGAGGCAGCTTGCCCATGGACACCAATTTGACCTTAGGCAAGGCAAACTGAATTCCAAATTCCTAAGGACAACAGCTCCTCCCCAGACCCCTGGGACCAAGTCACTGTGGCTGGTGTGCTGGGCATCCCTGAGCCCCAGCCACCCAACTTTACTGGGTCCAGGATTCTATGGAAAGAAAAAGAGATAGAAAATCTCAAAAGGCTTCTTCCTTTCAGGGAGGGGGGTTCCCTTTCAGGGGCTTCTGGAATCTCTACCCACTCCAGCTGGGCCCATGTGGTCCTGGAACAAGGCCCCTCTGAGGGCGGCAGATGGGGCGGGCGGCCCAGGCATACAGCATGGTTGGCTCTGCAGCCCAGGTCCCACAAAGGCCTTATTGAGTCACCAGCAGCCCCCGGCAGAGGCTGAGGTGGCAGTGGCGCCAAGCGCCTGCCACCTAATGACTGTCCTGGCCCAGCCACATGTTCCACAGACCTCCGGAGCGGCGGACCAGGGCCCGCCCGGCCAGCCAGCACCGCAGAGGCCACTCTAATTCCAATTAACCAGCTTCAGCTGAGCAAACAGCGGGCAGTGGTGGCCCAGCCCGGGCGGTAGGCCCGGCCCGCAGAGCCTGCGAGTCTAGACTCCAGATGTGAACCACCACCACCAGAGTCCCATGGAAAAATGGCACCAGTCCGGGCATGGATTGGGCCTGCATGCTGGGGAGGGGGTGTGGGTAGTTGGGGAAGACACTGAGTGGGCTTGATGCCAGCCTCCACGGGGTGGGGTGGATTCTTAGGAAACTGCTCTAGAACCCTCCCCAAGTTCTACCCTGATTTATTAGGTTCTGTTTCTGTGCCTCAGTCTCCCCTGACTGCGATAGGAGAGAGGGCTGCAAGAACAAAACCAGCCCTGCTGAGACTCCACTGTGCGCTTTAGTTGTACTTCACATGTGACTAGCATCACGCTGGTGTAATTGACCCTTGAACAACACAGGAATTAGGGGCACCAACCCGTCATAGTCGAAAATCTATGTAACTTTTTGTTTTGAGATGGAGTTTTCCCTCTTGTTGCCCAGGTTGGAGTGCAATGGTGTGATCTCAGCTCACTGCAACCTCCGCCTCCCGGGTTCTAGCAATTCTCCCGCCTCGGCCTCCTGAGTAGCTGGGATTACAGGAATGCGCCACCATGCCTGGCTAATTTTGTATTTTTAGTAGAGAGGGGGTTTCTCCATGTTGATCAGACTGGTCTTGAACTCCCCACCTCAAGTGAGCCACTCACCCTCAGCCTCCCAAAGTGCTGGGATTACAAGAGTGAGCCACTGCAATCAGCCTGTGTAACTTTTGAGTCCCCAAAAGCAATAGCCTACTGTTGACAAGAAGCCTTACCTAATAACATAAACATATGTAACACTTACGTTACATACAACATTTTGTATATGTACTATACTGTATTTGTACCGTAGGGTGGGCTAGAGAAAATGTTAAAAAAAAAATCATTAGAGAAACATAGTAGTAGAGGGAATGCAAAAATAAATTTTAAAAATATATTCATTAAGTGGGCTGGGAGCCATGGCTCATGCCTGTAATCCCAGCCCTTTGGGAGGCCAAGGTAGGCATATCACAAGGTCAGGAGTTCAAGACCAGCCTGGCCAATATGGTGAAACCCTGTCTCTACTAAAAATACAAAAATTAGCTGGGCCTGGTGGCGGGCACCTGCAGTCCCAGCTACTGGTGAGGCTGAGGCAGGAGAATCACTTGAACCCGGGCCGGGGGGGGGTGGGGGTTGCAGTGAGCTAAGATCACACCACTGCACTCCAGCCTGGGCTACAGAGTGAGACTCCATCTCAAAAAATAAAAAAATTCATTAAGTGAAAGTGGATCATCGTAAGATTTTCATCCTGGTCTTTGTTGAGGAAGAGGTGTGGTTGGTCTTGCTGCCTCAGCGGTGGCAGAGGTATTAAAAAAAAAAAAAGTCCATGTTTAAGTGCACCCGCACAGTGCAAACTCGTGTTGTTCAAATTTTATCTTGGATTTAATCGTTTTAACAACCCCAAAAGGTACCTACATCATTCTTACAATAGGGAAACTGAGGCAGAGATCGTAAGGGCCCTGGGGCACATGAACCCAGAGTGCCTGGCTTCCAAGACTCGTATTCACCGTGGTGCTGTTTGAACATGATCAGGATACTGGAGTTCCCTTTTCGGGGGCAGCGTTAGAGAGTGGGGGTCGGCAACCTCAGTCTCGCAGCAGGGCGGGCTCCTGCAGTGAATGGAACGGTCTTGCTCACGCTGTCCTGTGCTCGGCTGTGAAGGGGGGGAACAAGCCGCTTCCTAGGGCGGGTCCAGCTTTCTGAAGGAAAGCCTTCAGAGCCTCCATCAAGCCCGGCACCAGGTACCAGTTAAGTACTAGGCAGGGAACAGAAGGGTTAAAACGCCGCTTGCCGCGACTTGCAACGGCTGCATAAATGGGTACTGTCAGGCGCTATGGCTTAGGGCAGTAGTGCCTCCGGTTCCGACGATCGTGTCTGGGGTCCCTGAGGAGCAAAGCAAGAGTCTGCCATGCAGGAGATCAGAGTTCGTCTGTTCTTGCACAACCAGGGAAGCTGAGTCACCCCAAAACACCGGCAAGACTTGGCGGTGGTCGCAAGTGGCTATCAGGAGCGAGGCCGCAGGGGCCCGTCCTACCGCCCCGCCCCGCCCCGCGTTTGGATTCCCTCCAGGATTCCGGCCCAGGGCGCGGGAGGCGGAGGCCGCGGAGGGGGCGGCGGGAGGCTGCATCCTGCTGTGGTGCGTCAGGAAGGGCCGAGCGAGCGGGAAGGAAAGCACCACCCCCACCCCCGCCGCGGCCACACCTGGGTTCTCCAGGCGGGCGGGGGGGTGGCCCGGGCCGGCGCCTGGCTCCAGCAAGTCTGGGCCGCCTCCCCGTGCCGCCCCGCGGGGGCCGCCAGATGGGCCGCCCGCCCGCCTAGCTACGCAGGCAGGAAACGGCCGGCCGGGCTGCCAGGAACGCGCGCGAGGGAGGAGGCAGGCCCGGCCTGGCCACGCCCGCCGGGGGAGGGAGAGGCCGAGCGCCGCTCCAAGAGGCTGCGATCCCCGTCCCTGCCAATTCCTAGCTGGGTTTCGTTGGGCAGGTCGCTTTAATTCTCTGTGCCTCAGTTTCCCTACTTGTAAAGTGGGGCTGCCTGTCTCCGCTCTTTTCTCTTTTTCCTTTTTGATTTGTGCAGCAGGCTGAAGTGCAGTGCCGCGATCACGGCTCACTGCAACCTCGACCTTCTAGGTTCAGGCGATCCTCTAGCCTCAGCTGGGACTATAGCTGTGTCCCACCACGCCTGGCTGATTTTTTTTTTTTTTTTTTTTCTTAGTAGAGACGGCTACGTTCTCACTGTTCCTCAGGCTGGTCTCCAACTCCGGCTCAAGCGATCTTCAAACGTCGGCCCCAAAGTGCTGGGATTGACTCGTGAGCCACCGCGCCTAGCCTCAGCTATTTTCTTTCTTTCTTTCTCTCTTTCTCTTTCTTTCTTTCTCTTTCTTTCTTTCTTTTTCTTTCTTTCTTTCTCTTTCTTTCTTTCTTTTTCTTTCTTTCCTTTCTTTCTTTTTTTTTTTTTGAGACGGAGTTTCGCTCTTGTTACCCAGGCTGGAGTGCAATGGCGCAATCTCGGCTCACTGCAACCTCCACCTCCTGGGTTCAGGCAGTTCTCCTGCCTCAGCCTCCTGAGTAGCTGGGATTACAGGCACGCGCCACCACGCCCAGCTAATTTTTTGTATTTTTAGTAG